AAACTTGACAGTCATAGGCTATAAATTAACACACTGTTCAAACCCCTGAACTTTTGGCTTCTTAAATTCTTCTTAGAGATCTGGATATTTACACCTTTTGGGTTGTTGATGTCTGGCTTTTGATGACATTTGCTTTCAATGTTTTTTATAGAACCAAGGCATTGTTCAGCCGAAAGGTTTATATGCCTACAAGTCAGAAGTACATGAAGATAATGCAGGTACTGAAATTACTTGATCCTTTCTATCGATTATGCTTCTTTAGAATATCTGTCACTGCCATTGCCTTTGCATCATGTTACTGTTTGCTTGCGATGTGGTTAACTCTAGGCTTGAAGGGTAATGAAAAAGAGTCGGGAACCTGAGCTTTTGTTCAATCACAATTATACATATCAGAAAAGTCCGAATGTCTACAATTTAGGAACTTATTTAGGAACTTAGTTAACTTTTTTCTTTGTCATGCTAAATGAACAATGTTGACCACAGTAAGCCCATGCTTAATTCTCACATTGTATTTGCTGTTGGTGAGAGGCAATTTTCCTCTATAAATAATGATCCAGAGCAACCTACTTTATTTCTTTTCTCCTTTGTCCATTCTTGCTTCTTAGGCTTCTTTGAAGTGAAGAGACCTTTTTTGGATATGGAGCGTTTAGAAGCAACAATAGTAAGTACACTGGTAAATACCATAATGTTTGAAGGAAGGAGGAGAGGAGTCTCAAGTTTGGGAGACTGATGGCCACGGATTGTAGGCGGCATCAGCAACGTGAGCCTGACATTGATGTGGACCCTAATTAAGAAAAACCTGTTTAGAAAAAAAAACCCTGAACTAGGCTTATGGCCCAGTTTACAGGATTTTAGCACTGAGTAAGCCCTCTATCACACCTCACCAACTGAAAAGGGATGGTTGGTGTCTCGGTTCACACCCAGCCCGATGAATACCAGTTGGTACATACCAGCCCAAGTGAAATCAGATTCTTTTTTTACAAGTACAAATTAATGGTGTGAAAGTGATGATTTTTATATTAATCATGTCCAATATATGTGATCAGTTCAACAACATGGACTCAATTTGATAGACAAACATTGGTATAAAACATTACCTTGTCAAGATTTACAAAGTTCCATAAAGAGGAACATAAATCTTTTAACTCAATTGGGCAGATAAGTTTCTACTTTGTTGTTAGATGCATGGGAAGATGATTGAGATCATGTTTAGCACTGGCAGCACTTGGATTTCAAAAGGCAATATTTTTGTATTTATAATTCTGTCTCACTAATTCATCGAGAGTGTTCCACAGTTTCCTCTAGAATACACTTGAAACCATAGCTAAAGTTCACAAGATCACAATTGTGGGAGGTGCTACGATCAGGATTAGTGGGATCTATAATATATAAATTTAAATGTTTAGTAACGAGTAAGAGAAATATAGAATAATAGAAATATAAAAGGCTATATAATGATAACAATGAAAAATAATGGAGAACAATTCATTCAGAAATTAACTGTATTAGTTTATTATGAAGATAAATATTATGCATACTATGAAGAATTTTATTAAAGAAGTACTATCAAATATATGCCATATAAAGATACCCTTAACCTGTCTGCTTGCAACCTACGATGAATTCTGGAGAGGCATTATTAACGTGCAAATGAATAGGGCCTTATTTGGAAAGGGTGCACATAAGATTTGGGATTGAAGTTAATCTTGAATTCCATGACATCTTGTCATGGAATTCATAGTGATAACACTGAGAAATGGCTAATTAGATCATCGTTGGACGGGAATTATTGATTGTATTGGAATCAGACAATACAACAAACTAGAATCACAATTAACTTGCCATACAGGAAACAATTTAATATAAGAACAATATATGTATGCTTATTTGCCTAATATTCAGCTATTGTATCTATTAGATGGGCTCTTTTATTCTACTTCAGCAGGTTAGCTGCATACATGGTTTCAAATACCGGTTAGTAATGTGCTAACCAACCTATATTTACTGGTCCAAACATGGACCAGTAACCATATGGTTTGGTACTAGTCGTTTTTTACTGGATGGTATAGTTTGGTATATAGCTTGGCATTCCAGTACCGTACCAGTTTGATAGATTACCTAAACCAATATTGTATTGAAATTTAAAACTTTGGCTGAACATATCCTTTCTCTTGGTAAATTATTTCTTGACTTTTGCACTCTTCTGTTCCTGTATAATAAGGTTATCATACCTGAACTACTGTACAACCTTGAGCAAGTAACCATATGGTTTGAACTACTGTGTAGTTTGTTATTTTCTCTTCTAGCAGGAATTTCTTCCGTATCTGGGAATCTTGAAAATCTTGTTCCAGTACTTGTTAATTCTTTCCTGGAGTCCACTTCAATGAGGCCAACAATGGATGTGATTGATGCACCAACATTTGATTGCATGTTGTGCACACTTCAATGTATAAATTCGGCTGTCAAAATTTATGAAATGGGGAAGCCTTATACGTTGCTATTTAATGGACGTGATATGACACAGAACAATATGATGATATACATGAGGAAACTATGGGAAACATTTCCCGTTGGCCGGCTGTCTCAATCACCAGAAAAGGTTTGTTTTGTTTGTTTTCTGATTCAGTCTGCTGATGTTGGAATCTAACTAATGCTCTTTGATGCTTCGCTTTCTGCTTGAATGTATATTTTCTTCTGTCAGTTTATTTTTGCTAATATTTTAAACGCCCCCAACCCCACCCTCACCCCCCCAACCTAACACAAACACAGATAAAAGATTATTCACTTTGAGTTTCCTCTATTTTCGTAAGATATATTTTGCTCATCAATTAAAGATTTTAATGGATTACTGCTGGTCAAATAATGCCAATTCCAGGGATTGTGAAGTGTTATGTATTTGTTTTAATAAAACATTTGTATGCACTGCTTAAAAGAGGTTGGTTGATTAAGATTAGCAGTAGAAGAAGAGGTACAGAGACACTTGAGAGAAATTCAATTTGGAGAAGGAGACTTGATGGCTCTTACTCTGACAAGTTGGTCTTATGGCTTGCTTGACGTTGTCTTTTTTGCTTTATACAGTTTATCCTCTAGACAACCTAGACATGGTAAAAGGTCTACTAATACTTAGGAAAGTACTAAACATTTTTAATGTGATTATAGTGGGCTCGTATTTAATATATCAGGCCCTTTTCAGATTGTGCAACTGATATGACAGATGCTACTTTTACCAATTTGAGTACAATAAGTTTGCTAATTGATTTGTCCTCTTTTAAAATGATTGTGTGCAGGTTGATAACAAATATATCGTTTTGGATATCAAGATTGCTGAAATATTTTTACACCTAACAAAATGGATGAATGATACCAGTTTCCTTAATGAAAAGCTTCTTGGATTCATTGAAAGTTTGCTACTGGTAAATGTCATTTATTCACTTATATTCTCTCTTGCTGAAAACACCACTATAAATTTTCTTCTTTGGAAATCTTGTGCTATCTATTTGTTCTTGTTCTTTGTGTCTTCTTTTCTGGTTATCTGCAATATCATACTTTCTGCAGAGTTACTAGAAAAAAATAGAATTAAGAATTTTTTTAATTTGAGAACAATTAGTATTGTCCTATGACTTTTAAGATGCTATAAATATGTTCAAAGGAGACCTGTAAATGCTATTATATGATGATGTAAGTTGATTAGGAATTTAGGATTAGATGAGGTAGGGGGAGACATACGAAGATTTTATTTGAAACAGTAAAACATGACTTGAGTGTTCTAAGTTTAACTAGAAATATTGCATTACTTACATTTCAGTGACGGAAAAAGGTTTATGTAGTCAGACTACAAATAGTTGGAACATTATGGCTTGTTATTATTGTTGCAATATCTGTTTTTTCTCACCTTTTCCAACTGGCAAAAAATGTCAAGTATGTTGCTGTCTTCCTTTTGTCAATTTCTTACTATTTTGAATATAAATCAAGTATGTAATTTATCTTATTGTCAAGAAAGTTTATTGGAAACTTTTTGGTGTTCCATACTATAAATTGAAAGTTCATATATCATCTCCGTAAGGAAAAAACACAACACCAATTTTTTTTTCTCATTCGAACATAAAAAATACATAGTCATGACCAGATAAAGGTAGTTCTACTTGTTAACAAGGTCGGCTTGAAATGATTCCATTTACTGCAAGAATGGTATGATGGTTTTGGAATTACTGGAGGACATTGCACTTGATTAAGACATATTCAATGAGAGGATAACCTGATGTGGTTGTTACAATGGACTTCTGGTTTCAAAGACCATATTATTTGTTTCTTTTTCTTTGAGTTCTATCTGGTGGAAAATTTTAGAAGATTTTTGAGCTTTAGCAGTTAAATTTCTTTCATAGCTATGGTGTTGCAGACTAGAGAGGAGATAATTAGACAGTGTTTCTAGTATAGCCTGTGTGCTTGTGTCCTATGCTGAGCCGGCAAACGCCCTGGTATGCCATGTTTACAGCACCGAGCAAGCATCATGCACCTGGCATTTGGCACATGGAACACATGACTTGCACAATTTCTGCATCATGCAAGGTTTATTTCAATACTGTGCGCAATGTGCAGCATGATGGCTCAGGAATCCTTGAAGTGTTCGATTGATACTGATGATCAATTTGCAGAAAAAAAGAACAAGATCCTTGACTTTATGCCTTAATTTTCTACTTATTTCCTGTGTCTTTGATCTTGAGAATTCCGTATGTTTTTTTGTTGAACATTGATGTAGGGCTCTTGTTTGTTCTCCCGTGCACATTTTTGCATTCTAGCCAGTTGGTACTTTTTTTTCTTAAAATATATTTTCAGAATATTATGCTAATGTCAGACCTAAATGAAATGAGGGTACTTCCCTTTGATTCTACGAGTTATAGATCTTTGTAATTATCAAAGGCTAGAAAAAGAGGATGTTTAAGTGTAGGGGCCCCTAGAAAATTGTAATTATCTTTCTTATGTTGTTTGTGGAGTTTTAGTTTCTTGTAAATTGACTATCTTGCTTAACTGGTAAGCATATTTCATATTATAAACCATTTCCATTTTTCAGTAAGTACCATGAAATAATGTTGTTAGGAGGATGACACTACTATTGTTGTGTGCTGGAGGTAATGCTATGGCTAATGTTGTTTCTGAGACACATGAAGCTGGTGAATCTGATGACATGTTCTTAGATGCCACCCGGTGGAAGCAGAATTATATTTTGATACTAATTATTTTTGGTTATCTCTTAAGAACATTTCATGTGTATATTTAATCATCAAAGTTTCTTGAATTTAAATTAAGGGCCACCAAGCTATCAGCCTTAGTATGCAATTGTCATTCCAAAGATTGTGGCCTGCCAGATGTGAATTGTACTAAAGATACTGGATGCAATTTTCATCCTGATTATATTTTTCCGTACTATTTCTGTCAATTCATCGGTGGCATTTTTTTGAGTTCTGAGGAGATAATTGTTGCAATCTTTAGTTGCAGATGAATTTTGCATTTGAAGTTTTCTGTGGATTGTTTGCTAAAATTGGACATGACTTCTCTTTTGCAGGCTGGAACTAATACACCACTGAACAGGGTGCTTACGGAAAAGCACATAGGTTCTCTATTACCATTTACACCAAGACTTCTTTCACAGGTTACGGGCTGCTGGAAGGCCAGGCTTCTTGAGGTTTCTTTGCATTTGACAAATTTATTTTAGAAGTGTTGTCAAGTTTCATAAAAGGAATTTATGCAATTTGTCATTATTTTTCTTATGGAGGGGTGATTCTGCTTAAAAATCTTAATATGGTTTCAGGCCTTTACTTATTCATTCAAGGAATGCAAGGTGGATTCCAGGCTCTATATAGCATATCTGTGTGTGGTGGAGGAATTGCTTTCTGTTGTAAGCTCCAATATCATATATTACTTCTGTTTTTCTAAAAACATTTTGAAATTGATTTTAATGTTTTATTTGGTATTCTTGATTTACCTTGTTGAAGCAAATCATATAGAATATTTAACTTGAATATTGTAAGTTACAATTTCTATTTGACTCCTTTTCCTCTTCATTGCAAGACAAGCAATCTTGGTTTGCCGACATGTGCAGCCACATATGAAGATTTGCTACGCCACCAGATTGCTTGGATGAGAGAGCTTCCAAGGATTCTATTGCACCTAGGTTACAAACACCCATCTACCACAATGGTATGCTCACGTATCATTGGTATCTTGTTGGTTACTGATTTAATTTTCGCTCTTGATCTGTAGGTTATGGCTATGCCTATGATGCACTTTATAAAATATGCTATATTTGGGTAGGTTATTGCTTAAACATGTGCTACTTCCACAGAAATACTTGTTGATTGACAAAATAGAAGTGTTAGTAGATGCCGAAAGGTAATTAGCGAAAACCAACACCGCAAAAGCTCTGAGTTTCTCAAGGCCATATAAGTCCCTTCTTCCTACTGCATAATTTTGTTGTGGACCTTTTAGTTTGAGATAAATGTTGAAAAATATACTGATTAGGTAGAAAAAGTGAAACAGTCAATTCCATTACTGTTTCAAAATGATCACTGATTGCACAGGCTACAGCATCAATGGTTTAATATTTTTTATACCTAATATTTTTTTTTGTAAAACTAGAATCAAGGCATGCAACTTCAGTAGGCTTCCTCTGTGAAACATACAGGAAAATTACTAGATCGATCTAACATACGAGAAAAGCAACCACAAGATAACTTGACAAAATTATGGAATATTAAGAAAAGTATAAACTCAACCTAAACCACGTCAAGGTCTCTTTATGTTGTGATATATGGTGGTTCTGATATTTGTTTCTAGTTTTGCCTTTGTTCATGTTATTTATGTTTTCATGCAAGTTGGCTTTTCTTTTTACTGTCCTTGTGATTTCATGAGCCTTAGCTATATTTCATCTCATTCACTATGCATATATGTGATGGTGCTCTATACTTTTTAATTAATTAGTGTAAAAGTGTACTATTCAAACCAGGGGAGTTATTGTACTTGTAAAAAGTAGTATAGTAATGGGTAAATAATAGTTACACGAAAACTATATCTACATAATAATGTGATGTCATCATTTTAGATTCCAGTGACAATGAGGTATATTGTTTGTTGCAATTTTCAGGATGTGTGAATTACAATTTATGGGGCTGGTTGACAATATTGCGGACATAAGATCTAGGTTTGCAATACCACCCTGTATGGTTTGGTATCTACTGTCTGTCATGTTACTGGGACATGGACCACGATAAACTAGTGGTACAATCGGTACTGGACCTATACCATGTAGTATAGGGCTTGTACCATCTGGTACATCCAGTACAAGGCTACTACTGCCTGGTAGAGGGTGGTACTACTGGCTTTGTACTAGACAATTCCTTTCTTTTTATTTTTTCAGATTTTTTAGGCTTTTTTCAAAACTTGGTGCGTATTGGACTGGCATGGTACCGGTTCGAGCTCTGGCTGGTATAGTAATGTTATACGAAATTATGATCCTTGCATAAGATAGAAAGAGAAGAGAGATCCAAAAGATGTTTTATAATTGAAACATACTGTGCTAGCAAGGTATTGGTGTGCACCATGCCAATCTGTGTTTGAGGTGCTGCCATTTGGCTTGATCAATTTTTTAGGTTTGTGCTAGCCAGCACAAGACGGATGCTGACCAGTATGACATTAAATTGTACCATGCTGGAATGTATCAGCACATCATCATTTCATGAAACAGTAATTGTTAGTCACATATATGGTTGTTGACAATTTGCCACAAGTTTATTCATTTGCAGTGGAGTTAGTAGCCTTTTAGAGCAAGGTTTAAATTGCAAATGTATCAGTGGCTATGGATCAGTATTCACTGCTTTGCTAAGTATTGATAGTAAAGTGTATAGCTTAGTACTGGTATAATAACATTTATGATTTATGTTATTGTTATTTTATTTAATGATATTGGGCGGTATAGATTGATATTCCTCTCCAATAGATTGTTTATAAAGGAACAAAAGGAGATATATAGAATCAAGCAAAACTGATGAATGGCTTTCAGAAGGACTGCATTAATATATTACACTGTGGTGACTAACTGAAATGCATAACCCTGACACACTGATGGATAAAATTATGATGAATGATAGTATTATGTTTTCTATCATGTCTTAGTAGTTTGTTCACTACAGTTTGCAGTTGCTTAGTATCATTTTTCATCATTTTTTTTAATATACTCATTAGAATGCTGGCAGGTTGTTTTGAAAATTCTTCTTCGAATTGGACAGTCTTCAATGCCAAATTTGGCCTTTGGTATCGAGTATGACTGCCTCCAATTTACTTTGAGAGAATTTTATGGAACTAAGAGTGAGTGTCACACATGCTATAAATTATTTTTTCTCGTGTATTTATAACTACTTTGATTAGCTGTTCTCGATATGTAAAATGCTTCCTCTAGTTCCTCTCCATGTTAAATTGCACATGTGCTTGGTGTTGTGCAGCTGATGCAGGATCAGTTCATTATGGACCTTTTATGAAGCTTCCCCGTGATTGCCAGGAACTTGCCATCTGCTGCTTATACTACTTCTCAAGTTTGAGTTTAGATTTCTTGGAGTCATTGACCTATTGCTGCTTATGTAAGCATTCATTTTACACCTGAGTTTTTGGTCTCATTCTTAACCTTTATGAATATGAAAAGAAGTTTAAGTTCCTGTCTTATATTTACTGTATTGACATTTATATTGTTTTTACTTCTTCTTTTCCTTGAGAAAGCTAATTGGTATTCAACTGGTATCTGCTGGCATACCATCCATGGAGCATTTGGGGTTTAGTTGTATGATGTTTAGCTTTTCTTATTTGGCATATGATGTTCATGTTCCCTTTCTCTTGCACTCCTTTTACTTTATAAGTGTAACATATTGTCTTTTCTTTTTCCAATTTCAGTAAGTGTATATATTATACCTCCTAATTCAGGTAACGATATGGAACCACTCATACTGTTAAGAATTGTTGAGGTTTTGCAATCTGCATATAAAGCCGGTCATGTGCCAATTTCCGAGTATATTGGTTTCTTGGTAACTCAAGTTGCACGGTTTAAAGTTTTTCCTGGTAAGCTTAATCACTTTCTGGCTATTACTAGTTTTCATTCTGTTTTTTTTTTCTACATTTTCAAGACATTTGTTTCTGATACATTTTTATACCTTCTCTTTGCCTTTCTGTGTTTCATTTGGTTTATGAAATTGATGTTTTAAAAATCTACATTTTTGCTATATATAGTTTGTTCGACAAGTCTCTTACATTCTGGTATCTTCCGGTTTATTATATTTGAAGTATTTGAGTTTCAGGTTAAATAAGATATCCAATTACCCAGAGTCACTTGTCACATACCATGCCTATAATTGTGATGTCATTGCCAGTATATCCTCTAACCCCCTCTGCCACTCAACGTGCTTTTTAACTTTATAAATAATATTTTAATGCTTTAAACATTTATATAATGTTTTAATCATTAGCATATCATGTAATTTTTTTAATTGAATTATGGTGGACTGTGATAGTCTTCTTGACTCATTATCATTTATTGTTTTTAACTGAGATACTATATTTATTATGTGTCGATATAACCAGAATATTCTTAGATCCTCAAATGATACTTATCGTAGATGATATGTTGTTCGAGATGAGTATCATAGATGATATGTTATTAGTTAAAACATTTAAAATTTGTTAAAAACACCCTACTAAGCATACTAACATTGTTAACGAACAATACCTAAAATATGCCAGTCTATGCGGGTAGTAATTGTCATTCTATAAAGCTAAAAAGCATATTGAGTGCTGTAGGACTTGGTTCCCAACCCTCACAGAAACTAATCCTCATTTCTTCTCTTCTCCCCATGAAATGATTTCCAATTGCTGCTGCTTATCAAAAACTGGCTTATCAAGATTAATCAGTTGGTGGGAGTTTTGTTCATTACTGTCTTAACAAAATACAGATCAAACTCCAACTGTTGGATGACATATATACTGAAAGTTGTAGATGCAAAAGGACTAACTTAACACATCAATTGGCGTGCTTAGATGAAAACTCTTAAAGAACAAAACCAAAATCCTCTATTTTATGGAAATAATATTATCTCTCATGCTATTATACCTGCATCTGCAGCTACAGATTTAAATTTTTACCAAATCTGGGAAGCAACATCTATTGATAAGTGGTTGTACAATGGTGGTCCTTATGAGCTAATTGTACTGCATAAATACTTGCTGTAGCTCATTTCATGGGTCGTGATTAGGAGCTTAGCTTTCATTTGGATATTCATCCTTGGACTGCTGTTGCATATTCAGCTCCTATGCAGTTGCTACTGCTGTTTGCTTGATCTAGCTTAAAGGTCAAGGATATATAAGCTGACTGAATATTAAAGTCTACTCATCTTCGTCTTTGTGGAGGTTTCTGATAGTTTCATGTAGCATATGTTTGATTTGTCAACTTGAGTATACTTAAGGCTTTAAATGTCAACTTGTAAATTTTCAAGGAAATGATACATTTTTTTGATGGCTGAACTAAAATATATTTTAGAGTAAGAAGCGGCAGAACGTTCTTTTCACCAATGCTGATTTGTGTCTGTTGCACTTCATTTCAGAAAAGTTTCTTGTTGAGAAGAATCATGGGAATGTTTCAAATCGAAAGACCTTCAAGTCTCTCACAGATGCTGTGTTTGGATGCCTTACTCAGATGGGTGACAGCTGTATAATGCTTAAGTTGCTTTGCAAGAATATATTAAATGAAATGGTATATACACATCCTTCATCAATATATTCCTCACATGTTTTCTTACTTTTAGAAAAAAAGGAGTATCCACATTGGTGCTTCTTAAATCCTGTTCTTATAATGTGTTTACTCTTGATGCCATTTCGCTCACTTAATTAAAAAATGAGTCTTATTTTGAAAATTTCTCCTGCTAAGTAAATATTAAGTTCTCACTGTGTTTTGTTTGACTTTTGCAGTCACTAAAGCCACCTATAGACAATTTCCGTGGGTTGCTCAGAATGATCATTGCACTCGATACCAGGCCTACTAAACTTCTGGATGAGGATATTATTAACTTAAGCAAATTGCTTTCTCGTTACATGGTCGATGCTGTTTCAGTATGCATCTGTCTTCTTGTGCTCTTCGATAAATTATTGTAAAGTTGAATGAATATTGTCTGAGCAGTGGTTAGGGCTTTGAATTTCTTGCTTCCGATTATTTTTGTTAAGCTAGCTTTTGAAATAGTAGATCTTAATGGTTCTCTCTTTGTTTTTGTTCTCTTTGTTCATTTTTGGAGGGAAATACAGCAGCTTAATATCCATTTTGCCAAGTTTCTGCATGGAAAATTTATTGGCAAAAGAGATCAAAACTCATTGATCATCCTAAAAGGAATTATAGGGTTCTTTACATTTTTCAAAGTGCAGGTGAAAGAAGGCAAGACGCTGTAATGAGGGCATATTAGACAAAATGTAGTAAATAAGAAACTCTTTTTTTCCCTCTTTATGTAGGTTGTTGTATTACCATCTACATTTGTGGGAACAATAACATTTAGTTTGCTTGATTCACTGTGCCTACTGCCAATACGTATTTACTGAATATTGGATATAAGTTCCTCTTTTCCATCTGATTCATAGGTTAGCACCCCAAATCTAAAATTATCATTGGAATCAAGGTTTTACATTTCATTTGGACCTGTACATACCACCTGGTTCAGTTTTGTTTCCAACTGTTTCTTTTAATTAGGTTAACACTAAGCCCCTTACCCACGTTGTGATACCTCTCTTGCGCCAAACTCTCTCATGCCACCTGCAATAGCCGGGATGCAGCTCGCCTGCCTGCTATAGGCCGCCACCGCCTGCCCCCATGATACGCCCAGTACTCTCCTCTCTTTTTCTCTTCTCCTCTACTCCTTCTCCCTCCTCCCTCCCCACTCCCCACTCCCCACTCCCGCCTGCATCCCCTTCCTGGTGTTATGGTATGTTCTGGCATACCATTGATTGGAGTAACTTCAACTTCAGCTGAATGACATTCATTTGTCTCATTTAGATGCTTTGATATTGCTGGTTATATTTTTGTGCAAATACAAGTAGTAATCAAATCCTTTTTATTATTTTCTTGTGTATTGGTAAGTCATTGGCTGGATGATTTGATCATTGAACTCTTTGGAACAATATGCTGAAGCTGTTGTTTAAACAAATTACTGAGTGGATCTTATATTTCATAGTTTTATAACTAAAAATATGCTTGCTTATATGGTTTTTCTTCCTTTGGCACAGTGCATAAACAACAAATTACTGAGTCAATTTTATATTTCATAGTTTTATAACTAAAAATATGCTCTCTTACTTGGTTTTTCTTCCTTTCGCACAGTGCATATCTGAAGATCCTAATGTGGCTCATCGATTTAATCAGATGAGCATATTTGATTATTATGTAAAGCCTTGTATCATCCTTTTTTTTGCAAGTGACAAGCTCTTGCTTCTTGTGTTGAAGTCACTCGATTACTTTCTCATGGAAGACTGCATTCTGCTTCCTTCTCAATCCTGTGCTAAATATGGATTTGAGAGCTCAAGCAGAATACATGCAGTGTCATGTATCCTCACCTTTATGCATAATTATGCAAGGCTCCATAGAAGTCTTTCAAGGAGTAAAGCAGCCATTGAGCATATTCTGCTGAGTATGCAGAATTTATTGGTAAGATATGATTCTCTGTAACTGCCTGGCATGTTTTCACTAGCCTTTTGCTGTGGAGGATAATATTTTGAGATTAAAACAAACTTTTGTTATATTAGCATAAATAGGAATCTGCAGATGTTCATTTATGTGTCTTTGATTTTGCTGGTTGAACATTTTACCTTTTCTTGCTATTCGGCACAGTTCCAGGTTAACTGCAGCTGCAGAAACAACCATGAAAATATATGATAGGACTTTTAGCAAGGACTGTCTTTTTCCTCTCCCATTTCTCTACTGCAGCTTCATAGGCATATTTGCTAGTTTCAAGTAATTTTACTTTCATAATGCTATGACATGATATCTGTTCAGGTTTACACATATCAGTAGATTCTGAAGATTATTGGACAGACTTTACTAGCATTCCCTGTATGTTCCTGAATCGTATGTAGGATGCTGGCTGAATTTATTTTTCTGTTACATGCAGGATTCAGACAAACATAGCAGATCTCTTGAAGAAAGAAGCAGGTTACAAAGTGATCTTGACCAAGTGACAGCAAGAATACATGACTTTTGGCGAATTTGGGTTGTAAATGGTCTGGAAGGAGTTTAAGAAGCTAATCAACTATAATGTGAGTAATAATCCATAACTTGCAAGTAAAATAAGTGCCATCTTCAAGATGATTAATAGATATCTCTTTATGTATTGTCCAAATGGTTTTTAATCTGATCGGTTTTTATTTACCTGGTCAAGCTCCTTTGTGTATTTTTAACTCCTTTTGTTCTTGATTTTGTGTTGCCAAATTGTTTCATCCTGGTTTGAATTTGTAAATAATTATAGTTGATACTGATTAATCTGTATTGACATCATGATATGCTTTTTTTTTTAAACCTGTAGCATGGCATCCAAGTTTCTAGCAATTTAGTAGTAGTTGTTAGTTGAATAACAGAAATCAGAATGAAAACATGGGCCTAATGCATGACTAGTACTTTAGCCCAAATGGCCACCACAAGGGCCTGTTGATTAGCACTTCAGCACAAATGATCATCAAGTCAGCATGTTGATGGGACTTATGATCTAAATCTAAGCTAATAATACAAATGTGATATGAATCTGGAACGTATCCAGTTGGACCTGTCCTATTCTTTTGATATTTATTGCATCAAAATATGAAATTGATGGTGCTTGATTTATGCGTCATATGGATAAAGATTGATTTAGGGTTTGTGTTGGCCAACATGAGTTTTATGCCTAGTCAGCACGATGTTGGCATGTTCTTGCCATGGTGTTAACGGATCTCTCGTGATCACTGAAAGCAGCCTTGTAGTTCATGCCTTGGACCGACATGTTAACTTTTACTAATATGTTTTATTGTAAAAATAAGTTGCAAGAGTTGGCTATTATAAATTTTTAATAGGCAACAAAATGAATTGGATTATTGGATTGAATAACATGTTCTGTGTTTGGATGTGGTCTCAAATCCAAAGAGGATCCATTAAGGATCTGAAGCCGTCCAATAGCTCGATCATATCTTGTTCTCAAAAGTGGATCAGATTGTTGACGTCAGGTTCTCTCGTTTGGGTTCCACTGGCATGTTCAATCTGAGGACCCATCCATCTACTTCAATGCTTAATTTGCTCCCCCACTGGTAGTAAAAGGAAAAATGCTGAAATCTGGGATTATTAGGCAGATCTGATGATTGAATTGTTAGTTCTAATATCAAATGTAATATTGAAGAATTCTAATAATAACAGGCTGGGCAGATTGGTTGGGCTGTGTTGTCCTTGGAAGGCTTGTGCTTAAAAAAGGGTTTTAATTTTGTGCAATGCTGACCAAACTCCAAGCATTATCATGCTTGTTTTTCTGAATTTGTTTGTACTCAAATATCGGCATTTGATAACTTTTAGGTTTACTAATATCATCTAGTTATTGAGATATCTGAAAACTGTGGTTATCTTCATTGTGATTTTTTTTTGGTTATCAGGACATGGTTGCCAATGGATATGCTACTAGAGGACATCAAATGTTTACAGTATTTTGTGCTCTTATCAAATGTTTTGATCTTTGTTTGCACTGATTGTTCACAGCATCTCACCAAATGATGTGCGAGGATTGCAAAGCGCTATCGATGAGAAATTAAAGGTCCCAGAATGATGATGATGATGCCGGCAGTGAAGATGATAAAATCCTTCTTGGTTGAAGGCTTAGCTCAATGGAAGGTGCAATCTCTTGCAATTCATGAGCCAGGTCAGTGAATGCTGGTGATGCACTTCTCAAAGAACGCTGTCCGGATCCAAGCGGTGTTCTGAAAACACACAAGTTAGTGACAACTGTTCTCTCATCTGCATGATTTTAATGCATGCATAAGATGGGAAGTTAGTGACAACATTTTCGTTTTTGTAATCATTTGTTTATTGTTTTCATATTGTTTTCTTCATAGTGGAATAGTTAATTTAGTAACCATTGTTTACATCTCTTGCCCGGTTATTGATAAGATGGGGCCTTTTAGGCAAAGCCAATGGAATATTATTGATAAGAACAATTTTTAAGCGTCTGTGTTTGAATTATGTATAATGTTAGCAATTGTCCAGTTATCGAAGTGGAAAAGATTGGTGTGGAGCTTGAAGGTGTGTCTGCAGACTCCTCAGTTCCTCATTTCTTTTAATCTTCTGAGTAACTTCTTGTGTGCATGCACCACAATTTACTACTTATATTGCTTACACCATTTTAAGTATACTTTGTTTCATATTGGAACATTATCTATATTTGGTGTTGCCTAAATCGAAACAAAAAAGCAAAAATTGAGCCTTAAGATTTTGTAGTTAGTGCTGCAAGATGGGTTTAATGCGCAACCCATAAGACTGGAGGAAGTTCTAAGATTCAGCACTAGTTTACTTGAAAAAGTTCGAGTGTTCAAACCACTCAAATTTGGGTTCAGATTTTTCAACCAGCATGTGAATCTTTAGGTTAAAAGCCTACAAAGGTACGCCAATCTTAAAACGTGTGATTTCGTAGCACAAAAAGTAAATAAAGATGAACTGTGGCCTTTGGTTTCTTAGGAAAAGAAGAGTTCTCACATGATGTCAACCAAAGACCTTATTTTGGCTTCATGTTTCTTCTTGTCTGCAAATCCATTTTTCTAGTTCGTTGGACACATGCATATATTTTCCTTGTTTCCAGGATTTGTTAGCCCATGCCACCCACCCAACTAAGCTTTATCCTTGCTCGTTCCACCAACCTCACCGATGGTGGTTGATCCCCCTCTTGACTCGAAGCCGCCTCGCCTCCTCTTGGACCAGTTCACCCGCCATGTCCTGCATATAAGATAATAAATCATGCATCGTCTCTCTTCAAGCACGAAGCGGACACAGCAAACGCGATGGCCAACATCAGTTCCTGCAGCTCTACTCCTCTCCTCGTACTCCTCATGGCTTGTCTCCTCGCGACTGCCGCCACCACCTCACGGGCACAGGACCCTTCGCGGCTGAGCTTGAGCTACTACTCGAAGACGTGCCCGACCGCGGAGGAGATCGTCCGGGCGGAGATGGCGTGCGCGGTGAAAGCCAACCCCCGCAACGCCGCCTTCATCATCCGCCTCCATTTCCACGACTGCTTCGTGCAGGTGAGCGAGAGTGTGAAGGGATTAATCCTGCATGCACCTACCTACGTGCTGAACTGCTCCATCTACATGTTTAGGGTTGCGACGGATCGGTTCTGCTGGACGACACGGTCACCCTGATCGGAGAGAAGCACGCGGACCAGAACGTGAACTCGCTGCAGGGCTTCGAGCTGGTGGACAGGATCAAGCAGAAGCTGGAGGCGGAGTGCCCCGGAGTCGTCTCCTGCGCCGATCTCCTCGCCATAGCAGCTCGTGATGCCACCATTCTGGTATCTCCCAAAGCCACAAACCCATGTAACTCGATCGGTGTTGGATTCACAGCCATGCTAACTTTGAGCTTCTATTCCTCGAAACGAGTAGGTCGGAGGGCCATACTGGGATGTGCCGGTGGGAAGGTTGGATTCCAAGACTGCAAGCTTGGATCAAGCCAACTCGGACATCCCCACTCCGCAGCAGGGACTCGCCACCCTCATCACCAAGTTCTTGGCCAAAGGCCTCTCCGTCACCGACATGGTCGCCCTCGTAGGTACGATCGTCATCTTAATTCCCTGTAACGAAGAAGACCAGTAATAATGGAGCTAAGCTTTCAGGTTCCCACACCATCGGCATGTCGAGGTGCACCAACTTCCGAGACAGGATCTACGGGGACTTCGAACTCACGTCGAAGTACGACGCGTCGGCGCAGGTGTACCTCAGCAAGCTCAGAGAGACGTGCCCCGTGAACGGAGAAGACGACAGGGTCTCCCCGATGGACTACGTCTCGCCCACCCTCTTCGACAACGCCTTCTTCGAAAGCCTAATCAAAGGGACCGGCCTTCTTGACTCCGACCAGGAGATGTACTCGAGCCTGTTAGGGTTCGAGACCGCCCACATCGTGGAGAAGTACTGGGCGGACCCCATCGCCTTCTTCAAGGATTTCTCTGACTCCATGGTCAAGATGGGGAACATCACCAATCCTGCAGGTGGAGAAGTGAGGAAGAGCTGCAGGTTTGTGAACACTTGAGCTTGTTCTTGCGTTCGGCTGGTCTATATGTCAACATCAAATATTTAGGAAGTCATGTAATAATTCTATGAGACTGCCCAAACATTTGAGACAGCTGTTGTTATCATTAATGATTTATTTCCTCCATAATGTCATTTATCTGATAATTAATGTTTGTGCGGAGCCAAATACTGCAAATGGTTAGCATATATGAACTACCGATGTGGTGGGCTGATGCAGAGCTTTTTTTTTTTTTTTATCGCTCGGTAATTATGTCGATATCAACGTAGACATAGAATGATTCTCACCTTTTATCGTTATTCTTTTCATCCATAATATTCACCCATGACCTTAGCAGAGCCATCGTCTGTCACCATCAACTAGAATATTAAGATTATCTTTTTACTTTTTGTCTATATATTTTTGTTATTAAAACTAACAGTGTTAAGATAAATAGATCTAGATATTTGACTTTCATAATTATATGGATGTCGATATAACTATTTAAAGTATAGGGACCGTTAAAGATAGTTAACTAAATGAGATAATATGTAATTAACCTTTAGTAACAACATGGGTAAAACTTAAATGCTAATTGGATTAAAAAAAAAGAGATCGTTGCTCTTGATCGCTTCAAGCTATGATTATTGAATCGGATCGAACCGGTTGGATAAATGAACCCATAATTATTGGATTGAATCGATTACTCCGATATTCGGACCAATAACTTATTTGATTCAATTATTAGATTGAATTCATAAATCAAAATGAATCGTCGGACTAGTCAATAGGTAATCTGAGCGGATTATATAAAATCGATCCGATTTTGTAATATAATAAAAAGATGACTTAAAAACCTTTAATATATATTTTTTATTATTTATTTAAAAGGGTATTTACGCTAATAAGGGGTTGACATGAGAAATACATTAAAATTAATATTATTTAGTGTAATTATCAACAATGTTTATGTAAATAATGTTGATTATTATTGTCATTTTTATACAACTTTTATTTTTAAATTAGTTTTAATATTTTATATTTTTACTATAGATTTGTTTTAAAAAAATATTTTTAAATTAAATATGCGACAATCGATTCTATTGGATTGTGATAATTATGAGAAGCTCTTTCTACAAAGTTTTAGTCATTAATTGGTGGAACAAAGTTTTAGTCATTAATTGGTGGAAGACAAAAATAATGCTGTCTCATATGAAATATGATCCAATATTTTTCAGTTATTTATTTAGCAAATATTCAATAAAATAACAAAAGTCATTAGTCTCAACAATAATAAATGTTAAGATGGATATTCAATAATAACTATGTATCACTTCGATAAAGAATAAAATAAAAAAAATATTTAAAATGATAACATATATTGATAAGAGTATAATTAACATTAATGATATGAGGTGATAATTTTTTTAAAAAAAATATTATAAATAAAAATTTAAATATTCTGAATTCAATTAAATATATAAATTTTTTTATCTAATTTAATGATGATGAAAGATGCATGTCCCTCAAAATTCATAAAAATATTTAATATAAAAACAGAAAAAAAAATAATAATGGAAAATAACACGAAATCTAACGCATATGTACAACAAAATCCATCAACATAGCCATCACTTCCTCACCGAGTCCCTTCCACGATCTCAAAGAAAGAATTGCTTCGTCCTCCATCCATCCATGGCGACGGTTCATGCCAAGAACATGACTATCTTTGTGATATATCCATGACCCAATCTGAAGACCTTCTCCAGCTCTCTCACCTCGGTCCAGAGAGCTCAACTGCTTGGATCAGTATCGAGGAGTCGTCCGTCAGATTAGAGTAGCACCGGTCGGAAAAGGCCAACTCCGGCATCTTGAAACCTTGGGAGTCGACTCTCTGCGACGCCTCCCATCTTTCCACGAGTCCGTCGCCTTCCAGCATCCGCACCACCTCCGACATCTTGGGCCGGTGGCGGGGATGGAACTGCGTGCACAAGAGCGCCACCTTCACCATCTCCTCGAGCTCGATTCGGTCGTAGTTGTGCTTCAAGTTCTTGTCCATCAGCAGCTCCAGCTTCTTCTCTTGGTGGATCTTCTTCACCTGGACGACCAAAAAACATCACTGACAAGCTATGGCATCTGATACTACGACCGACGGCAGTCACATATCACTCTTACCCAGTCAAGCATTGTGCCTTTCTGATTCACAGACTTGCCGAATTCTAAAGCAGTTCGGCCGGTAATCAGCTCCAGAAGAAGAATTCCGAATCCGAAAACATCGGTTTTCTCTGAAGACTGGCCTGTGGAGAGGTACTCCGGCGCAATGTGGCCGACGGTGCCTCTTACGGCTGTGGTGACATGGGAGTCCCTGTGATCTAAAAGCTTTGCTAGCCCGAAGTCTCCAACTACAGCCTCGCAGTAATCATCCAGCAAAATGTTAGCAGCCTTGACATCTCTGTGAATTATCTTTGGATCACACTGCTCGTGCAGGTAGAGCAGTCCTCTTGCAGCTCCCACTGCTATTCTTTTCCTTGTAATCCAATCCGGTGGTGGTTTTCCTAAGGACAACAAGAAATGGATGTTTGTATCAGTAGAAAGGATCACAATTTCAGAGAATTCCATTAATTTCACCGAGAAGCCGAAATCGGATTGTCACCTTTTAATCGGGAAGCAACACTTCCATTCGACATAAATGGATAGACAAGCAGTCTCTCTGAGGCAGTCATGCAGAATCCACAGAGTCTGAGGAGGTTTCGATGCACGGCCAAGCTTATCATCTCGACTTCTCTCTGAAACTGGATGTCACCGCTGGCGGTGCTGCCATCCTTGAGCCTTTTGACGGCCACCAGAGTTCCATCCGTTAGATGACCCCTGTAAACAATTCCAAAGCCACCTTTGCCTAGTATGTTCTTGCTGCTGAAGTTATCGGTTGCAACCTGCAGCTCCCTAAACTGAAACTTCTTCAAATTTCCGTGGCATACTTCCTCGTCGTGCCGTTCTGAATCAATCGAAGAGATGACTTTGTTGTAAACTCAATGCAGAAATTAAGATGCTAATGCATAGTTCTTGCATGGTTACTCACCATCAACTTGAAAAAGGATTTGTTGTACACGTCTTTGCCTCCGCCAGAGAAGCAGTCCAACAACAAGAACTATCAAACAGGCTAATCCAATGCTGGAGCTGAGAGCCAAAGCTACTTTGTGATTTCTTTGTCTTCCTGGGGTTGCAGTGCCTTTTTGATATATGGAAGGAAGTCAGAATTGGAAGCAAGATCGAAGAATTAGTGAAGGTAGAAGATATACAGAGTTTCATATAATGGCAAAACAATCAAGTGATCGACAACAAAATAAACTTCGACATGAATGGCTTTTGCATGTGTACATTTGAGCATATTTGTGTGCCGGTAGACAGAGGAAAGCGCAAAATGAATGTAGAAGAACAAGTTGTTACCATGCTACTCAGGCTCTGGAATTGTCTTCTCTCAAGATTCATATGATTCATTCCCTAAACTCACCAGATTTCTAACAATGTGTAATTGTTTGCACAAATTCAATTATCATTTTGCGTATTGATTTTTCATGCATTCAAGAGGGACAAAACCCGGGCGCAAGAAACCACTCCTAATAGATTTATGCTAGAATATTATCTAAGACAGCAAAGAAGATATCAACTAGACATGTAATTACTCTCTGAATTACTCAAGTTGTAGGAAATCGGCATCGGCATCATCCCTAAGCACTCTTTCTCTGTACCAGTAGCGCAGATTAAAGGATTTCCAACGATGCTGCAAAATGAATCAAGAAACAATTTCAGAAAACAATCTTGGTGGAGAAGTGTTGAGCTTTTTACGTTGCTCGGACCAGTATTAGCATAGATACATCGATAAACTCGTTAGACTGGCAATAACTATATCCCGACAGACTCATTGCGAAAGCAGGATTCAGGATACTGTGCAAGAAAAGAAGCTAGTATTTCAGTCCTGACCACATAGAACTATTTGATTTGGTCAATCACAATGGAACAGTGTACCATATGTTAAAGAAAACAAAGTTGATGTAACACAAGGGAGTTGCCAAGAATCTTACTTGAATGTCTTAGCTGCAAAACTTGGAATAGGACCACTCAAGTTATTGTAAGACAAGTCCCTGATTCATGCACCACATTGCTCTCAGCTACACAGTTCCTGGAAGAAGAATGAATCAGCATACTACACAAGTCATGTGACTTACAGGAATGCAAGCTGTGTCAGGTTGGTCAAAGACAGAGGAACTGCTCCAGACAAACTATTGTTGTTGAGCCTCCTGGTTTCATTAGACAAAGATAATCAAGCTAAAGATAAAGATTTGGTGTTACAGACAATTAGATGCGAAAGAGATTCTACCACTTTGCACTTACAGGTACTGAAGGCTACTCAGGTAGCTGATGGAGGTAGGGATTTCACCATTGAAATTGTTGTTGGAGAGGTCAAGGGTCTTTAGATTTGAAAGCCTTGCAATCTCTTGTGGGATGGGTCCTGATATGTTGTTGTTCTGGAGGAGACTATAAAAGGACCATTATCTAAATCATAAATGAGGGAGAAGTTTCACCAATATCCAATTGCTATGAGTACTCACATGATCTGCAGGTTTGTCAGATTGCCGATGCTTGGAGAGAGTGTGCCAGATAAATTTTGGCTTGGAGTTCCTCTGAGAAGATGAATCAGAGACTTCAGAGACTGCTCTTCCACACAGAAAAAGCAGAGCAGGAAGGGAAGAAGAAAGATCAAATGGCACTCACAGGCCAATGACTAGATTCTCAGGTGAACAAGTAACCATGGTCCAGCTGCATGGATCCACGGAGTCCTGATCCCAGTTCTCAAGAACACTATGGGGATCCTTCAGAGAGGCCTTTACACCCATTAAAGCTTGAACTGAAAGATTAAACTCCAAGAAAACCACATCACAGATCTCCTCTTTGCAGAAAATAAACGAGAGTTTGAGCCATAAAAGATGCGCAACTTACCTTCATAATTGACACCTTTAGGGGAGAGAACACCAGCAGCAGAAACCCAAGAGAAGAGGAAAACCAAAGCAAACAGCTCATATTCGCACGACCTCTTTGCTCTCATTGAATCACCAGGCTCCGAAAAGAAGCTTCCCATGATGAAACACATCCCTAATCGAATCATTAATGTGCTCTTCTCTTACCCACCTTCTCTTCTGGAACCAGTCTGGTCATGGCTTGGAAGAAGCTTGCAGCTTTAGCCATGCCCTCTCCCTCCTGTCGGAAGTAAGTAGAGGAGACAGAAAAGAAGGGAAAGAAACACACATGCCTGCCACCGCCACCTTATGATGGTAGGATGCTAGAACAAGGAAATGGGCATAAAATATAAGAAAATCCAAGCTTTATAGGAAGGAGTGAGATACTTGGTTGAATGACTCCCATAAAGAGAAAATTCCATGGTAGAGCAGTTGAGACATTTGCTTGGGAAGTGTGTGGGAGGAGAATTCAAATTCTGTGAGAGAGATTAAACGATGGGAGAAAACAGTTCTTGCTGACATGTCTCATCTCATGAACTAGTCGAACAATGACACTAACATGCAGAGATAGATCCTCTTGACAGATACTAGTGAACCATCGCGAAGACTGTTTGCTTAAAGCAACATAATACCAAGTCTTACAGAGAGGCTTATGGTGTAATCCTAAGAACAATAATGTATGTGTACCACGAGGGACCTCCAGCAGAAGATAAAGGTCCAAGAGTCGACAAGAGGACAAAAGATTGCAATGGTTAAGATGGTCATGGCAACCTCGTTCAGTACCTTTCCATGGAGCTGTCACTGTCCAAAGACAAAAATAGATGGATCGTGCTGCGCCATTGGATCTAGATGGCAGCTTTGGGATTACTGAAAGCAGGATCCAAGATGACACATGAACAGAAGCAATATATAACCCTATGAGAAGCAATGCAGTTCACCTGGGAAGCTGGGAACATGGTACTTGATGCATCCCACAGAAAGCATAAATCAGCACTGTATTTTATTAACCAGGGCATAAATCATGGTTCCACTGACTGCATCATTTCAGTTCAGCTCACAGAAACCTCTTGTTCTAAAGTGGTTTTTGTCAGGAAATTGACATGTCAGAATCTCTCTGAGTTTAGTCTTGTTTGATGCATTGGTTGGTGAATTAAAGGAGATCCCAAAACCAATGAACTTTATGTTCTACAGCATGAGGTCATGCACTGTGTAGGGCCTCAGCTATGTTTCTATTTCTACCATCAGCCAACAACAAATGAGAGAACGATGGAGGGGATAAAAACTGAGAGAGAATTCCACTTTCCTTTTTGTTCTTTTGTTTGGTACAGATCTTTGTGGGTTCTTCTTTCTTTGTTCTACCTATAAAATACTGAAGTAAGGGCCTGCAGCAGAGTAGTAATGCTTGCAAGTTGCAGTACACAAGCATGTTTCCATGGTGCTTTTTGCTATTCTATTATCCCAACAAAGCTTTCCTCTTATGAGCCTTCACCATGTTATCAATCACAGTCAGAGGAATCACAAAGAAGAGGAAAAGCAATCCTTCAAAGGCAAAAGTTCTCCATCTTCCATTACGACCTCACCATGGGAACACTATGAAAGCTGACAAAAAATGCTTGTGAAGAATGTCACTTTGAACAGAAAGAAAAAGAAATTTGGGACACAACAACAGTTTCTTCTTCAGCCAAAAAAACAATGTCACTTTGATGGATAAATACAAGGTCGGATCTCAGAGCATTGTCCCTAGAGCTTTAGTTGATGCACTCTTCATGATTGATGTTTCTTAAAAGGAAGGAAGAAGATGATGATTCAAGCTCAGCAAGCCACACTGCTGCCTCCTCCTGCTTCTGGTTTCTGGTCCTCAACTGTGCCCCACTGTGGGCTGTACTCTGTCAGCTTAGTGGCTTCTTGTTTTGTTATATTGCACATAAATGGAAACAACATGGTGGATTTGTCCCTCAGTTCAGCACTCATGGCATGTTTGTGAAGATCACAACAATAATCTCGACAGATTGAATGCAACCCACTCTCTGTTTCTTTTGGTTTATTTCAAGTATGGTTTGTTAATTCCTTGCACAAGAGCTCAACAGTAGAAAAAAGAAATCAATATCCCAAATAATCTAACTTGATGATTTGTTGGTGTTGTAGTGTTTAATCAGCAAAATTGCTGGTGAGTCGCATCACTAATTGCTGATAACACCAAACTGACAAGAACTAAGTAGTGAATGACAAGCTTTCCTGGAAAGCAGTTGCTGTTCCACTCAGACACATTAAGTTCTACTTGGATCAACTCCTGATGGATTCAATTGGAAGGAATATTTATTTTGATGTAAGTTATATTAGATTATGGTGAGCCGTTTCTACAGTAGAAAGCAGCTCGATACTTGCAGAATGGACTTGTGTCCCAAAAGAAACAATCTTCATTAATCATATGAGACAAACTCCATAAATCTCAAGAGTACGATAACCAGCGGAACCATAGCTCAGAGCCAAAGAATCTGCAACGATTACCTCCAACACCAACAAGGAACAGTGTGGATGTTCTCTGAGGAGCTGTTGAATGGGACACTCAAGAAGAGAGAGAGATAGAGCCAAAGACAACTGCGCTGTGCAGTCTGGTCTACAGGGAATGGATAACTTGAGCACAGAAGCATCGACCAACTCCACCTCGATCAAGTTGGTGATGCTTGCTGCAGCACAGCACCACGTTTGTGGCACACAGCAGCTGAAGGATGACAACAGTGGAATGAACGACCAATTAACATGATCTGCAGTGCAGTCCAAGGGAGAAGACAGCAACTGCAGCTGGTGAAATCATTCATGTGTGTAATAGCAAATTATTGTAATTTGGTGTGAGAACTTAGCTGATGATTCATTGATCAAAGTGTCATATTAATTACAAGGGAAAAAAAAATATATATCTTTTCTTTCACTGTCCAAGAAAATTAAAAGAAATGGTTTATTATTACATGGAAAACTGCAGTACTCTTGTCTTAGAAAACACATTCAATTGGTGAGAAATTGAAGGCTCATCACCTTTGAACACTTTAGAAAGGAAGAAAATTCCAAAGATAAACAAAGATTTTCCTAACATTTTCTGCTCTTTCACAAATAATAAATCAAAGATAAAAATATAAAGAAGAACAATCATATCTCAGCTCTTACATGAATCTTTTTCCCCTCAATCAGTTCATCAAAACATGCATGACCAATATGTTTCCCTTTGGACATTACTGATTCAGTTCCGAATAGATGTATGGCTGCATCACATCACACTCACTTCAAAGTATTATTCTTGATTTTTGCCAAACTTATCTTGGTTAGATGGTGATAAAAATTCTCCCTTTGAACTACAAAATCATGTCAAAATGAGAAGGGAAAAACAAAAAAAATACTCACTCTGTAGGTGGGAGTGGTTTGGTGAGTTTGATTGTTCTCCTACGATTCCATCATATCAATAAAATATTATATTGCCAATTGTCTACCTTCCATTCCCAAAGCACTAATACAATTAATATTTAGAATTATTACTCTCCCAATCAAACCCCTTTTTATTTAGAATAATCTTATAGCAATGCTTGGAGACCACTACTCATTCTATTTGTTTTTTAGATAATTAAAATAAATGGGAAAAAAGGGAAAACGCCGTCTGTCGGATCCTCTGCAATCATATGTTTAAATGTGATCGCGCAAGCTCACATCTTAACCGTCCAATGCCATCTAGTCATTGGATCTTACCGTTTATTTATGTTGTGGCCAGTGATTGAATGGGTGCAATGATTCTTGGAGGGGATCCTATGGATACCGGATGGATGACTGTGACTCGTGCTCAACACGTGTTATCTATCGGTCCGCGTCCGACCCCTCGGGATTCACCGACCTCTTCTTCCAGCGGCGTCGGGCTCTGTTCGCCAACTTCAGCGCGCCGCCGTCGGGAGCTACGTCTGCTCACCTTCTGTCGTCGCCGGCTTTCTCCGAGGTTGGCTGTTGCATCCTCTCCCTGCCCACTTATTTCCACGCGGATGACTCGGCAATGTTTTAGGGTTTCTCGATCGTGATTGGATTCGGATATTTTATATCGATTATAATAATGGTGAATTCTTGATGATGCGGCCTTTGGGTTTTGGCGATCCGAAGGGTAGAGTTGTATAACATTTTTGGGATTGAGGTTAGTTGAAGTGCTCTATATGAATTCGGTTCATTTGCCGGTGATCTCATCAAAAGATGATTTTTTTTCTTGCTTTGAGATTAAAAAGGAACAATAGAGTGAATCAAGAACGTGAATTGCTAGCTTTTTCTGCACATGGTCATATGTGGGCGATAGGTGAGGATAAATCATTGCCGATTTCTAGTGGCTGGTATATGATGAGGATTAGGGTTTCAAAAATATGACGGGGGAAATCTTGATGTTCTGTATTTTTTTTTAATTTTTTCCATTATGATTTGAGTCAATTTTAGGAATATTTTTCATGTTGGGTTCTTTGTGTTTGCTAGGCTAATCAGGCTGGGGTTTGAGAATATGGCATGTTGCTAGGTCCAGTGAGCTAATCACTTGGGGAGAAAAAGAACCAAAAACAAAAAAACTTATAGAGTAGAACATGGATCTTAACCCATATGTTTCTTGGTAAACCTAAACTTTTCTGACTTTGCTTGCCTTCACTAAGCTTATGTGCTATCTAGTGATGAATAACTACATGCGAAGTCTCCTAACTCATGTACAAAGCTATGCTCATTCATCAATGGTTGCTGATTGCATATAGAAGCTGATTAGACTGAAACTGGTGAGGTGGGGAACCATTTCCTTGCAACAAGTGGCCTGTGCGACATTTAAGGCATTGTAAAGTCAATATGATACTTACAGTCAGATCAGGCTGTATTCACATTGCATGATCTTTTCAAAGATGAATCGCCTTTGATGGATATTGTCATCATGCATAATCTTAGATTTGTTTTTTAATATAGTGCGAAAGATGTAGCTATCTGCTATTGGTCACTTTTGCGGAATTTCCGTTGATTTGTTAATATAGATAGTTCATCACATCTTTTTTTTTCTAATAGCATAATGTGGCATTCTAGAAAATCCTGGGCCTATTTTCCACTCATGGTGAAGAATGTTTTCTAATTTTACTCTCATACCTATGTGGTTGATGTTAAAGGTGATGCTTTTAATCAAATTGTTGTCGAACCTAAAATTAGTGAGATTTCTATGGCAAAACAGTTTAAAACAGACAATAACTGATTGCTAGAACTTTATATATGCATATTGATGTTCAAGTTTGGTATTAACTTTGAGCAGTTATTGTTCAAAAGTATCCACAGTACGTTAACATATATTTGAACTAAACTTTTCGTTGTGAAGTAATACTTTTTCCACATTCAACTGCTATATCACACCATATTTAAACTGAGATTTTTATGAGTAATATCGCATTTTAAGATTCCTTGTAATGTTGATCACTATTGTAAAGCAGGTAGAAGAGATTGGTGCTTCTGATGGCAGCCCTTAAAGCTTTTTGGAACAGCCCTGTGGGTCCAAAAACAACTCATTTTTGGGGACCAGTTGCCAATTGGGGCTTCGTTATTGCTGTATGGTTTCGCTGATGTTTTGTTTATGTTTAGTTTAGGATAGAATATCATTTTCTGTAAATATTGGATTAGGAGCATATATCAAGAGATGATTTATTCAGAAAGGTTGCTGATTTACTGAGAGTGTTTTGCTGCTTTAGCTTTGTCTAATATATTAAAAATTTTTTGCTCCATGACATCTTTCAGACTGTGTTTTATATATCAGAAATGAGTAAAAGTGTCAAGTATCTTTCTCATTAGGCTTACACTCTTGATTTTATTGTTTAAACCTGAAAGGTTCTTATATGTGAAGTTTAAGAAATGAGATGTAGACAATAAAAAGTTATTTTCTTGAAAGCTACATGTCTCCTCTCTTTTTTTCGAATTAAGTTAGTGTCGCCCATACCATCTTTTGTTCTGCCTTCCCCTTAAGTTACTTGGTATTCACAGATCAAGCAGTTCATGGGCAATAAATTTTGGTCTAAAACTATTGGTTTATTTGGAGCTAAGTGATCCAATGGCTTTCTCCAGTCTTTAAGTGTTCCTTGTAAGTTACCTTTTGGAAATTTTAATCCAAAGTTAATTCTAGCAAATATGCATTTTACCTCCTAATTTGAATCGCTTTCATATGTCATCTTGTGTACTTTTAAGGAAAAAACAAATGTAAGACAAGTTTACTGTTTATGCTCGTCTCCATGCTAAGACAACTATGTGCAAATAGGAGGGGCTAAATAACCAGATTTTCTTAAGGTTTCAGAGCTTTGTTTACCTATGATAACCCTCAGTTTTGTAGGATTTTGCTTTCCACATGTAATAGTACCCAGAGTAGTTGGATCACTCTTCTGAAGCTTTTATCTTACACATGCTGAAAGACTTAGGTGTAGATGATCATGATGGCCTCTTAATCTGATTATTTCATTTTTGTAACAAACTATGTATTTACCATTTTTGTCATAATGAAGATGTTCATAGAAAGTATTCAGCAAATATCTCTACTAACGTCCATCAAGATATTAGCAAATGTTGTCAAATCAAAGGATATTTTTCAACTGATTATGCTTATTAAAAAGCATTGCAGTGAGACCTATTCAATCTTGTAAAGATTTATACAAAGTCTCAAGGTGTTGAACTATGCAAATACAAATGCCATACAATCTATTCAATCTTCATCCAATCGGGTTCTTGACATCCATCAACTACTAAAGTTGACTTACCTGCCGCTGTTTTCTTCTAGCAACTTGAGACCAGTTGGGGATATATGACTTGTTTCTGAACTAACTTGTTAGACACATTAATAATCATGACGCACACTTCATCTGATATAAGTAGGAATCCATGTTATTTTTTTATGTTTATTTTTATTTTATGTTCTCGGTTACTTGATATATGTGACAATCTTGATTTATGATGTTGGTTGATGCTTTTTTAGGGTTTGGTAGACATGCAGAAACCCCCAGAGATGATATCTAGGAATATGACTTCAGGTTCAAAAGATCTGAGTTAGAAATAGCTATGCATTTACTTTTGTGCTGTAGAATGAACTGAAATCATTTTCAATTGGTGGTGCAGCCATGTGTGTCTACTCAGCACTTTTCATGAGATTTGCGTGGATGGTAAAACCACGTAACTACTTGCTTCTTGCATGCCATGCCTCTAATGAATCAGTTCAGCTCTATCAATTATCTCGTTGGGCAAAGGCACAAGGGTAAGGATATTGTCTTTTTAAGTTTTGGAACTTGTTTTGTACAACCAGTTGAAGATATGCTTTCCAATTCTTTTGATATATGAGCAATCAAATACAATACATTTGGAACTGATTTAAATTGACCTGGAAAGTCACTTGAAAAGCCAGGTGACAGCTTTGGTAGTACCACATTCAGTAAGTTCAAAAGTATTTTTACTATTTGATACTTGTGATGCATTATTTCATTTTCCTGCTTCTATGATAGTGACATTGCCATAAAAATGCTACAAATATGTCACTGCATTTTGTCAATAAGGGTAATATTAGCATTCTCACAGTCAAGTGAAAGTTGCTTCCTGTCTAATTCTTATATATGGATCCATGTGCAGATCTCTGATTATTGAAAATGATGTGGTGGTTGATCTGTTTCAGTTTCTTTGCATACTGACTTCTTTGTATCACAGGTACCTTGAGAAGAAAGAGCCTGAAGGTCAGCACTAAGCTGTTACATGAGCTTCTTCAAAAGATTTCTCTGAATAAGAAGGTGAGGTACTTGATCAGAAAGCATCTCCTTGCTATGATTAATTTGATGAGAATTTCCTGGTATTTTGTTCAGACAATGTCTGAATCTATTTTGCTTATTCAAGATGGCTGTGGTGCTCCTTTTTTTTTTCCCTGGTCCTTTCTATATCAAATCATCTAGGTTGGCTGTTTTTGACATAAATGGACCTACTCGAAGCTCAATTGATCCTATAGACACCTGAGTTCAATCTGGTTGTTGATTCGTTTAGGATCAGATAAAGTTCCCCATGCAGGGAGGGATATGGTACCGTTGATGAGCAAAACTTTTGCTGCTTGGGAATGTAAAACTACTTGGAAATATGACTAGTGTTTTTTATGAAGTATTGTGATTATGTTAACAAAGGTATGACTGTCACCTTCTTGGGCAGCCTTTGTGAGTTTGCTAAAATTAGCAAACACAATCCACAAGTCTACGGTAAATGGGAGATTTTGGATAGCATCAGTGTGTATAGATGCAATCTTATGTTAATTATATAGATGTACTTAGTTGATGCCTAAAAATTTTTGGATAGCATCAGTGTGTATAGATGCAATCTTATGTTAATTATATAGATGTGCTTGGTTGATGCCTAAAAAAATGCATCAGTGTGTATCAGTTCCATTTACGAAAAATTAGGGATTCGTAATCTCATTCGATATATTTTTTTCATCTGATCTGGTGGTGTGCTAGATTTATTAACCAAGCTTGAAGGCTTAAAATTTTGTCAATATATTTATATTTAAAATATTGGTCTCGTAATGGTGATGTTGTATTAAATATTATTTATCTCCAACAAAACTTGTGTCTGTACAAAAGATTATAGGCAAAAATTTGGATATAGTTTTTGAATTGTGAATATTTCAGAAAATATTCTCGACAGCAGACCATGGCATGTGATGAAAATTATTTGTCATACAATTATTAATCTGTGATAGTCATATTAGATTTGACACAACAATCACTGAGTTGACTTCTCGAAGTAGGAAGCTGCATCATCAATGAGCCTGCAGCTCCTGTTGGGATGCTTACTAAGTTGCAGCTCCTTTAGATTAGTTGGCAGTCAGGAAATGGATCAACATCATGCATATATGTCTTGTTAATTAATTAATATTTATGTATAATATGGTCATTTGATAGGAAGAAAACATTAAAAATTTGCATTAATAATTAATTAATTTCCATTCTCCTTCCCCTTCACCTATCGCCACCCTCTTCACTCCCAACTGCCGACAAGTCTGCAGCTCTATTTAGCCTGTGCCCACAGCCTTAATTTCCATGTTTCAAGGGGTCCTTCTTCATCTCCTCCCTCATTTTTGCTAATGCATACGGTAAACAGCTTTTACTATCATTCTAATGGGTATGAAATAAACAAAAATTATAAATTTAGATCACATTATATATATATAGGATTTGATCCATAATATAAAAAGTGTTAAGGTTTAGGATAGAATAGATATCAAGTTTGATGCATATGAATCTTAGCTAATTTGACTTCAAAGATGAAAGGTTTCGTATGAATAATCAATTCTTTCAACTTCTTGCACATGAATAATCAATTCTTTCAACTAACTATTAAAAGAATTGTTTCGTATATTAAATTTGATGACAATCGATATATGTTAACTCATGCCGCTGATAGATACATCATAGATCTAGTGGTCCTCGTGCATGGATGTGCTATTACTTCTCCTTCACCTCATCCATTTTGGTTGTTAGTCTAATTAAACAGCTAATTAAACAGAATCACTTGGCTTTGTCTACAGCTAAAGATGAGAGAGAGAGAGAGAGAGAGAGAGAGAGAGAGAGAGAGAGAGAGCGTGTCAACTCACAGTATATCGACTGGAACAGTTAGATGACCTGCAGCTATCAGCAAGCGGACATGGCAGCTACCAGCTCTGTCAGACATTTGGTTCACTGTCTTACAAATGCTCGGGTGACATTTCCAGTCTTTGAATGCGAGTAATGGCTGCGCCCATGTTAGGAAGTAGTCAGTTCCATATCCTAAGGCATTCATGTGAGGAGCTGATGGCGTCGGTGCTGCTCCGTGAACATGCTCCTTGAAGGTCGCCATGACTTGAGGAGAAGACAATGGGTCACTGACGTTGCTGATGCGTTTCCCAGAACCTTAACACCCTCTCGTCAAATCAAGGACTCCACTGGTATGGTAAATCTCAGGATCGATGATTAAGAGAAGAGCTTTCTTCAACCCCCAACCGATGATTAAAAGTATTTGGATCAGCTTCAACCTGTATTTCTTACTAGTTCCTATAAATGCATCCTAAAACTCTTCCTACGGCGCCTCAAACGCTTCTGGATTCCGAACCTTTCCACGTCCACCATGAGACTGGCTCTCCTCTTCGTTGTCCTCATGGCGATCCTTTCGTGCACCGCTTGTTACAAGGAGATAGCCATGAACAGGCTTGAAGGGTTGGAGAGGCTTGCTTTAAGGACGGTGGTCGGGCCCGAGAGCCTGGCCTTCGACCGCCACGGCCGCGGCCCCTACACCGGCGTCTCCGGCGGCCGCATCCTCATGTGGCAAGACAAAGGCCGCGGCTGGACTGGGTACGCCGTCAATGCTGCAAACAGGTGAACCTTCACTTACGATGACATGATGCTGGATATCACACGTGCTTGTGACATGCCTGAGTGCGTCTTGGTGACGTGACGCATGCAGGAGGAGGGAATGCGAGGGTTCCGACGTCTCGATGGAGAGGGTGTGCGGGAGGCCATTAGGGTTGCAGTTCCACCACGCAACCGGGGTTCTCTACGTCGCCGACGCCTACTTCGGCCTGCTGGCCGTCGGACCGACGGGAGGAGCGGCAGAGCTGCTCGCCGCGAGCGCCGAAGGAGTGCCCTTCAACTTCACCAACGGCGTGGACGTAGACCAGAAGACCGGGGTGGTGTACTTCACTGATAGCAGCACGCAGTACCAGAGGCAGTAAGTCCAACGCCCCTGCAGCCTCTCGGAACCACACAAACAACGTAACATATATATGACGATCAATCCTTAGCCTGATCACTCTAACTATACCTGCAATTTCCAGCTTTTCCATGATTAATGCATGCCCCACGAGAGTGAAAGTCTTGTTTCAATCTGAAGAAGCTGCTATTTGAATTCCAAATGCACGTCTTTTTTTTGTGTGCAGGGATTACATATTGGCCGTCGTGACCGGCGACTCGACCGGACGACTGATGAAGTACGATCCGAGAACAAGAAAGGTGACGGTGCTGCGGCGGGGCCTCCGCTTCCCCAACGGAGTCGCCTTAAGCGGCGACGGAAGCTTCCTCCTCTTTGCGGAGACGGGGACTTGCAGGGTCATCAAGTACTGGCTTCGCGGCCCCAAGGCGGCCACCACGGAGGTGTTCGCGGAGCTCCCGAGATACCCTGACAACATCCGGAGGACGCCGGGGGGTGAGTACTGGGTGGCGCTGAACGGCGAGAAGATCGACCTCAACGGTGCCGCCAAGGCGGAGGCAGCGACGGAGCGCCCGGTGGCGATGAGACTGAGCGCGGAGGGGAAGCTGGTGGAGGCGTTGGACGGAGAGGAATTGGCTTCTGTGAGCGAAGTGGCGGAAGAGAGCGGAAGCGTATGGGTTGGTTCCGTTGAAATGCCTTACGTCGATGTGTACAAGCTCTAGCTTCATGTATGCTTTAATGTTCGTACCACCATCACCATGCAAGCTTTAATGTTCGCACCTCACACTTGTCAGATAAGTATTCCGTCAAACTACATAGCACCGTCAATACGGCACGAGCAAACCCCAATCATTCCCAGCCCTCGGAAAGCAGGTTCGGGTGATTCGAGCCACGACTTTGAGCCCAACTCAGGCCACGAACCTGCTGACCCAAAAATCATTGAAGAGGTCACATCACTGATGCCAAAACGAAGATGAGGACTACAACAGCGCCAACACTAATTATGAGAATGATCGACCAAACGAAAGTATGAATTATGTATTTTCCTCGAATTATATATATATATATGTAATTGTATATCATATTCATGTATGTAAAATTTGTGTTCCTCGCGCGTCAGGTCAAAGCCAAGTCAAAAAAGCAGCGTATTCCTTTGGAAAGGTTACGTAGGAAAGTGGTGTTCTTTGCTTTCTCGTTAAGTATGCGTCTTCGTTTTGTTTTCTTTCTCTGTTACGTGGGTCTTTCTTCATGATTTCTTGTGGATCGCTCACTGCAGACTTCGCTGTGGACATGTCCTCACCTTTATCCACAATTCAAAGCTTATCCACTTGGTGTAATGTCCCTTCATATTTTAATGTAACATATATTTAATTAAATATTTGTCGCTTCTTATTAATATTCATTAAAAACTAATTATTAATTATTAATTACACTTACTAATGAGTTCTCAAATATTACAATTAAAATACTTGTGAAGGATATTACATCAGTATTCTAAAGTCGTGACTTGAGTGGGGGTACACTTCCAGCGTTTTGTATCCATGGAAACGTGGAAGCTTGGATCCATGGACACGTGGCGCAAACAGCGACTTGTATCGGAAAAGTTTGACCTTGTCAGAGAACGTTGCAGTATACTTCCAGCCTTCGACCGTTTGATCGCCAGCGCTATCCATCAACCCAATGGCTCCTCCCCAAGCAAGCTTTTACTGAGTGCGTCGGGAATCTTCCCGAGCCGTCCAGTCACCCACCCTCGATCTGGACTTCGCTCTTCCATTACAAGAAGCAAGCTGACTCCTCGAAGCTTGTAGATCACGGCTTAGAGAGAGAGAGAGAGAGATGTATGTTACAAGGCCACTGTCTACCTTCAAGAACGCCGCCGGCGCTGTTCATCAGCCACCGCTGGAAGGGCCAGGCTCAGGCTATCTACTCCTCCAGGACGAAGAGCTTCAGCCTGCGTCGACATGCTGCTGGGGAGCATGCAAGTGCGATCCTGACCGCATCCAGCAGCTTCCCTTCCCCCAGAACAAGATCCTCACCCTCTCTTACTCCGAGCAGCGTGGCGAGACGACTGACACATACGGCAGCGCCGCCCTCTTCATCCCTGTCCCCAACCAGCCCCTGTCAACCAATCGGTACTACGTAATCACCGCCAAGGGGAAACATAAAGGGTATTTGAATCTCACTACCTTTTTGTATACGAATTCATCTCTTCTCTTTGAGTTCATTTAGGGGGTGTTTGCAGGAAGGCATATACATGCTCGAAAGAGGAGGATATGACATCGTGCTGCGTTTGTCAGTGCATCAACGACGTAAAGCCCAAAGAGTTCGACCACAGAGACGTCTACCAACAAATGGAAATCGTGTGCTACAAGGGACGCTTCACGGCCAGGCCTGTTGCCTCAGATGCGATTCCTCCTTCCATCCTGAGGAAAGAATACTGGAGGCTTCATCAGGTTGAGCACGAGGAGTACGCCTTAGGGGTGGCCGCGGGGCTCGACGAAGCCCTCCGCTCACGCCTGCCGGAGCTGCACGCTGCAGGTGTGGTGGTGGGAAGATGGTACACGCCATTCGTGTTCGTGAAGGAAGAAATGGACCTGCGCGACCAGGTGAAGCACTCTGCGTTCTACGAGGTCACTCTGGAGCAGTTCTGGGAAGAGGTGTATGCATGCGAGAATCGGCATGGCGCAGAGAAGGTGGCGGAGGTGAAGGCTGTGGTTAGAGGAGAGGCTGCTTTCTTGGATGGGAAGGAGGCGAAGCGGTACGACACGCATGATGTCGATGGATTGGTGTGGTTTAAGCCTTTGGATTCAGGGGGGGGCGCCGTGAAGCTGAGCTTTCCGGTGTGGGAGAGGATGAAGTGGGAGCAGAGCAGGTGGGGGTGGACTGGGGACGAAGAGCAGAAGGTGGAGAAAATTGTGGAGTATGGAGGAGAGGGCGGGTGGAAGAGCCTTCGTTGCTATGTGTTGGTGGAGCGGTTTGCCGTGCGGAGGATGGATGGGAGCTTGGTTTTGATGGTCGACTTCAGACACAGTAGTCACAAGGTTAAGTGCATATGGGAATAAGCACACTGCATTTGTCCTTCTTCTTCTTCTTCTTCTTATTGTTAGTACTGTCATTCCATTCTTGTGTGGATCGAGTCATTTGCAGATGTGTTTTCTACAGTTCATTTGGGATCTGCTCAGTGTAAAGTCACAAAATGGTTCAGTCTTGTTTGTGTTGTGAAAGAGCCTTTATGAGTTACGTATGCTTTTAATTAGTGTTAGCAGATATGTTGAGCATCTGAAAAGCTAAACAGAGTGCAAAATGGTCTTCTTCCATTGGATCTTTGAAAGCTCGATGGGGAATCGAGCGACCAAAGAGATGACTCAGGGGTTTAGGAAGGAGGTAAACGGGCTGACCTTTGACGCCGACGGTGTTATCACCGGCCAAAGCGAATCCATTTCTGTTTGGACGCTCCTCAGCTGCTGCCCTTTGGAAGAGAAGGGGGAGAGGTGTGGCCAACTCTGTATCGGCAGCATAAAACGGCCGTTATAATCACGTCCCCAAAGACCCGACCGTTGTAGAAGCAGCCTATGCAACGGTCGAATCCATTTAGTCGGGAGCCATCTGGACCGTTCATTTTGATGTGGCTCCGGGGGCCACCTAATGACCGGTTCTGATGCGTTCTAAAGTGATGCAATGCAGTACATTAAGTGGGATTGTGTATTATTTTTTTATTATTTCTTGAAGTAAATAGTAATAAGGTTTTTTTGTTGTCTCCAATTTAGGTATGATTTCAACCCAGAAATAAAGAAAATTATTTTTTTTATACCAAATATCTTATAATGAACGGATAAAGTTTTTATCGACTAAATTATTTTTTAAAAAAATAAAAAAAAATATGAATTACAATTTGAATCACTCTGTCATGATCATTATATATATATATATATATATATATATATATATATATATATATATATATATATTATCGCATACTAAAGCGATAAGTGGGGATTATTCATAATCCATTATCATTCCGTATTGCTTATCTCCCTATCACTGTCATTCATACCCACTTATCCCCACTTATCGCTTTAGTATGCTTACTTCTTCTCTTTCTCCATTTCCTCCTCTATCATTATCATCACATTCTCTTGTTCCTTCACTTTCTTCATGATATCGTATTCTACTTTCATTATCTTCCTCCACCGTCTCTTTTTTCTTCTTCTCTCCTCCTCTTCCCTCTTCCCTCTTCAACCATCCCTTTCTCATTTTTCTTAATATTTTCGAATTTTCAACTATAGATTAACTTCACAAATTTTAGAATTAACAAAAAGAGAAAATTAATATGACTCTTTAATGTTATAGATAATTAAAATTTATTTATTTATTAAAACTTTCATTAAAAATAATAATAATTGTCATTAATCTTAAATTGCCCAACTAAATCCTGTCTTCAATGTGTATTGGTTCAAGCATTCATTATTAGATGCAATGTACAACTAGCAAAACCTATTATGATTTACTTAGGATATCCAAATCAATTATTAATGACATATATTAAATTAGTAATTTTCATCGAAAGCAATGTTCGATGAAGTCAATGTAAAGCCACCAATTCATGGAAAACCAGATGGCCCATCCAAATTAGATTTGTACTAGTGGGTCCACATGATAATTACCCATAAGAATAAACCAAATCTAAAATGGCCCATCTCTATAATTGAATCTTTGCTGATGTTCTCACATTCAAGTGACTCACAAGATATAGAATATCATTCATCATGTCACTATCATCACCTAAGGAGAAAAGAAAAATAAAAGAACAAAGTGCCCAAGTTAATGTATTATTACTGAATATTCTTGGATAAAAAACAAATGGAATTGAATCAGCCTCATGATATTGGACCACATATTCCTTATTCACCATCTCATTCTAATGGAATTTATTGCTTAGGTGAATCATCAAGAGTGAAATGTAGGCCTTAATATCTTACATATATATATACATATATATAAGCAAGCAAAAAGATATATATGAAGAATAAAGGAAAAGAGGGCCATCTTTGCTAATTATTAGTATTATTTGATGGCCCTCACCATTAGTTGCTGACATTTGTAGAGTTAATAATTATGGAAACATATTTGACAGCTGTGTATCATAATTAGTAAAAGATATAAATGAGAATCACATTAAGAATCTAAAAATGATTTCTTGTCATCACCCACAGTGATTTGTTTCACCCTTGCAAAATCTCCCCAAGATAATATGATATTACTTCACAAGAGGAGCTGTCACAGATGTGGAAGAATACATGCATATATATCATTTGGGCAAGTGATCTCTAAGATGAGAGAGCACATGAGGTTAGGTTCATCAATTCTGCTCATCCACATGAGAAAGTAGCTAAATGGTGGGGAAGGTCAACAATTGTGCCTTTGGCCACATTATAAATTGATGCATATTTGCTTAGAATTATATTGTAGTCCACTAAGTTGAAGAACCCACCAAAGAACAGTGACACTTGGAATGAGTACATCCAAAGAGAACGAGAAGAAGAGAGAAGGAGAAAGTTCTTTTTGTTCCATGCTTGCCGCCGTCACCGACTCATGTCTATTCCAAGGGTGTCGATTCTTACTTTAAAGCCAACTTCTTCTTCCTTGTCATCGTCATTTTCCATCTTCTTCTTCTTCTTCCCCGGAATTCTGCCACCATGAAGCCTCATGCGATGAGTTGTCTCTGTCACAGGCAAAACCACCTTAAAACCATCCCTAACTTGCTCTCTCTGTGTGTAATAATTCTCTCCTTCCTTGCCCTCTTGCACTTCTCTTACCGCCATGTTCTCTTCCAGTTGAGCTTTTACGCCTGTTCTAATCCTTCCTCCTCATCCTTGGCTTCTGCAAATTCTTCTTCTTCTGCCATCGCCACCGCCGCCGCCACCGCCATCGGTCCTCCTGGTGTTGGTGGTGCTAATTCTACCAGCGGCGCAAATGCAACCGCAGAGTGTGACATCTTCCGAGGGGAATGGGTTCCAGATCCGGAAGGGCCTTACTACACCAACGTCACCTGTACCATGATCCAGGACCACCAGAACTGCATGAGGTTTGGGAGGCCGGACAGGGAGTTCCTGCAGTGGAGGTGGAAGCCGGAGGGCTGCGAGCTGCCGCGCTTCGACCCGCACCGCTTCCTCGAGCTCGCGAGGGGCAAGTCCATGGCCTTCGTGGGCGACTCCTTGGCCAGGAACCACATGCAGTCCCTACTATGCCTCTTGTCCGGGGTAAGCATCTCGCTGATCATCATTTCTTTTCTTTATCTTGGATGAATTAGATTGCTCGCTAGATCGATCACCAATCAGTAATTCTAGACTTGTTGATGGTGATTCAATTGGCTGAGGTGTTAGATTGTCGTTGTCAGCATTGAAACTGAGAACTTAGATTGCCAGCATTTCAATGCATACTATCAATCAACGCTTGACTTCTTTTAGTTTCCTTCTTCCTGCATCAACGTGATTCGCGAGAGCCAAAGAACGCGCAAGTTCTATCCCCATCTGACCGACAGATTCACATGCAATTCCCATCTGAGAACCCCACCATGGAAACCAATCAATCACTCAGACGCTTCCTTCTCCTCTCCCCCACGACTTGCCATGTTTCTCTCGTTCAGAACTACTTTGTCCTGCCACAAATGGATGCAGAAAAGTCTGCAGCTATGGGATTTAGCCTTTCGGTGTTGCTATTGCGTGTGGTTGGTGTAATAGTTCTTGTTTCGGCCACCCAAAACATTAAAGAAAGAACAAAAGAAGAGAGTTGGAAGCTGTCATACGACTGGATTCCCATGGAGTGCGTTGAGCAAGTGGCTCCTCTGATCTCCGCTATCTTCCTCCAATTAAGGGATTTATTGACTAGTAATCCATTATTACCACTTTTTCAGATGATGCAATTGTTTATATTGGTCGATAACAATGAGAGTACTGTGAGAAGGTTGAAATGAGTCTTGGATTCATATGTTCGTGAGACTTCAGCATCACTTCTTCTTCTTCTTCTTCTTCTTCCATTCATCAGTTGATTAGCTCAGCTGTACATGGCAGGTGGCGTATCCGGACGACATATCGAACACCAGAGACGAGAACAGGCGCTTGTTCTACAGCGACTACAACTTCACCGTCTCCATCTTCTGGTCTCCGTTCTTGATCAAGGGCGGTGCGGCCGGCGGAGTCGATAATCTCTGGAACCTCTACCTCGACGAGGTGGACGACAACTGGGCGGCTCGCGTCCAGGCGGTGGATATCCTCATCATCTCCTCCGGCACCTGGTTCACGCGGCCGTCCATCTATTTCAAGAAGCGGCAGCCGTTCGGGTGCAACTATTGTGCTCAGTCGCCCAACCTCACCAGGGTGTCGGTGTACTCGGTCAACCGAGCGGCCTTCCGCTCGGCGTTCAAGGCCATCGGGAAGTTGCGCGGGTTCAGAGGCGTGACGGTGCTGCGGACGGTGTCGCCGTCGCACTTCGAGAACGGCAAATGGGACCAGGGAGGGAGCTGCAACCGGACCCGGCCGGCGCGGCGCGAGGAGACGAGGCTGGAGGCGGTGGAGCTGGAGATGTACCGGGCGCAGGTAAAGGAGTTCGAGCGGGCGAGGAGGGAGTGGGAGCGGAGAGGACTGCAGCTGAAGATGATGGACGCGACGGCGGCCATGCTGATGAGGCCGGACGGCCACCCCGACGTCTACGGGCATCGCCCGGAGCAGCGCGTGCAGCTGCACAACGACTGCGTGCACTGGTGCTTGCCGGGACCTATTGATCTCTGGAACGACTTGCTGCTCCAAATGCTAAGCAACTGAGCGAGCGAGCAGAGCGGAACACAGCAAATTATACCATGATTGTTTTGTTTGCCTCAAGAAACAAAAATATAGCATGAAAGATTGGTTGTTGAATCGCATTTTTGGATCTGTGGATAGGACATGTACACACGATTCTTTCTATGAACAAAAAACAAGCTGAAAGAATGCTTCACGTTGTTTGCTTGCAGAAGCGAGCAAGAAAGAAGAAGAGACGAAGATGCCATGCTCATCACGCCCGCCCTTGTTTCCTTGATCCTGTTCCCTTCATGTCTTGCTTAGCACCCTAAGCCACCTGATTCCTTGGGGATGACTTCCCCTGCCTTGCAATCCACCCCATTCTCGCATTAGATTCTTGCACTTCCAGTTTACTGCAACATGATGAGACCACTACATCTCGGAGAAGGCCATTGTTTTCTGTTCTTGCGAGTTCTTGGTGTGGTGTGGGTGGCTTCAGTTCTGCGCATGAGCAGACCGAGATCGTAGTCTCTAGCAGACGCTGTTATTAGTGGGTCAACTCACATCCCAGTCAAGGAGGAAGAAGACAAATTCAAACAAATCAACGGTTCCCACCTCATCAATCTCAACCGACACGGTCACCAGATCAAAACAAGGATATGCTGAAGAAGTTGGGGAGGAAGCTGAGCAGGGTGTCGACCCTTATAATAACCCAAACCCTCAAGAAGAGAAGGCCATCAAGACCTCCTCCTCCTCCTCCCTCTCAAGGTCAATTTCCTCCTTCTCCTCCTTCTCCTCTTCCTCCTCCCACAATGCCCTTCCACCGTCACCACCATCACGACCACTCCACCACCGCCCCCTTCCTCTTCCCCCAGGCCCAATCCACTGTCCTCCCTGATCCCTCCACCTTCTTCTCCCCTTCACTTCTTTCCTCTCCCCTTCCCACCAATTCCTTCTTCCAGAACTTCACCCTCAAGAATGGCGACCAGCCTGAGTACATCCACCCATACCTCGTCAAAGCCTCCTCCTCCTCTCTCACCTTCTGCTACCCATCCCGCTTCCACACCCCCGCCTACATCTACCAGTCCTTCACCCCCGACCTCACCATCTCCTCCTCCGACTCCTCCGGTCGGCACGTTGTCTCGTCCTTCGACGACCTCAGCGTCACCGTTGACCTTCCCCCTGCCCTCCGCTTCTTCCTCGTCCGCGGCAGTCCATTCATCACCTGCGCCACCCTAGGCGGATCCGCCCCCCCCTTCTCCATCTCCTCCGTCAACGCCTTCATCGACGTGTCCGCCAACGCCGCCCGCACCAAGCACACGCTCCGGCTCAACAGCGGGCAGACCTTCCTCTGCTACTCTTCGTCGCCGCTGCAGCTGTCGCAGCAAGGCAACTCGCTGCTCACGACGCCGGACTTCGCGGGCGTCGTCCGGGTCGCCTTCCTTCCGGACCCGGGACTCGAGGCCGTCCTCGACCAGTTCAGCGCCTGCTACCCGGTGTCCGGGGAGGCCTCCTTCGACCGGCCGTTCTGCGTGGAGTACAAGTGGGAGAAGAAGGGGTGGGGCGACCTGCTCCTCCTCGCCCACCCTCTTCACCTCCGTCTCCTCTCTTCCGATGGCAGCCGCGTCTCGGTGCTGAAGGATTTCAAGTACAACAGCATCGATGGTGAGCTCGTCGGGGTCGTGGGCGATTCGTGGTTGTTGAAGACGGAGACGGTTCCGATCACCTGGCATTCGACAAAAGGCACCAACGAGGACGGTTACGCGGAGATCATCTCCGCCCTTTCCAAGGATGTCAACGGCTTGACTTCTGCTCCGATCACGACCACTTCGTCCTACTTCTACGGGAAGGCCATCGCTCGAGCTGCTCGGTTGGCTTTGATTGCGGAGGAAGTCGGATTTCCCGATGTCATCCCCATCGTGCAGCAGTTCTTGAAGGATTCAATCACTCCGTGGTTGGATGGGAGCTTCGATGGAAATGGCTTCTTGTATGATCCGAAATGGGGTGGCATGGTCACGAAGCAGGGATCAACCGACTCTGGTGCAGATTTTGGGTTCGGGATCTTCAACGATCATCATTACCATCTAGGTTACTTCCTCTATGCGATCGCTGTGCTTGCCAAGTTTGACCCAGCATGGGCGAGGATGTACAGGCCGCAGGCTTACTCCATGATGGCTGATTTCATGACATTGTCTCGCAAGCAACAAGCCAAATATACCCGATTGAGATGCTTCGATGTCTGGAAGCTGCATTCTTGGGCAGGAGGACTGACAGAGTTTGCGGATGGGCGGAATCAAGAGAGCACCAGCGAAGCCGTGAATGCTTATTATTCAGCAGCTCTAATGGGATTAAGCTATGGGGACACTCACCTTGTGTCGATCGGTTCGACACTTGCTGCATTTGAGATTCAGGCTGCGGAGACATGGTGGCATGTTAAGGAGGGAGAAGGATTGTATGAGGATGACTTCACCAGGGACAACAGAGTGGTAGGAGTCTTGTGGGCTAACAAGAGAGACAGTGGCCTGTGGTTTGCTCCTGCTGAATGGAAAGAATGCCGGCTTGGAATTCAGGTTTTGCCACTGTTGCCCATAACTGAGGTTCTGTTCCGTGATGTTGGATTTGTCCAGGAGCTGGTGAAGTGGACCTTACCTGCTTTGTCAAGGGAAGGGGTTGCGGAAGGATGGAAGGGGTTTGTTTATGCAATGGAAGGAGTGTATGATAAAGAGACAGCTTTGGAGAAAACAAGAGGATTAAATGGGTATGATGATGGTAACTCACTTTCTAATTTGCTCTGGTGGCTTCATAGTAGAGGTGATAGTGGGGAAGGGAGCTTGGGTTGGGTAAGAAATGGCTGGTTTGGTCACTACTGTCACTGAAGAGAGCTGATGTACGTGATACATCACACTGCAGCTGTTGTTTTAGATGTTAAAGGATTCCACAGGTGTGTTTATAGTCATCAAATAACTTTGAGGAGATTGATAGCAAGCCAATAAGAAAATGAATGTCACAAGCTTATGATACTACCACTGCCAGAGGGCATATGATTGTTGAAATTTAAATATAAATATTGTTTAGCGTTGATACTGGAAGAGACCAGCAGCAGTTGATTTGTTGTTTGCTTGATATGAGAAATAAAGTTTGATTTGAGGATATGAAGGTAGATTTATTGATTTGTTTTCTATGTGAGATTATTGTTATAGGAAACCATTGTTTGTGTTATGATAATAAAATTTTTATGTGTTGACTTGTATACTCTGAGGAAATAATTCATCTATGTACCACCATTTAAGTATGGATACAAAAGTGCAGCTGCCAATTGCATAAAATTTGAAAATCAGGATTCATTTACTCTGTAATCATCTTAGAAATACTTGTGTGAAAAACAGAACACACTCCTGATCAAAGGAACAAACACATAATTCCTTAAATCATCAGTATGCAATTTCTTTATAATTTGTACTTACAACATATTTATAGTCATCCGTTGAATGGTAGAAGTAATTGAGACTTGATTAGAATTTTTGATCTCGTTGTTGAAGTGATCTTTTTCTCATCATGCAAAGAAAATGTACTCCATTTTGGATAGTACAGGTGTATGATGTATCATACATTTTCTCAGACAGTTGAAGAGAAACATTTGTTGTACATTTAAATATATCTCCCATTAATGACTTCAAGACAAAACCATATTTAGGGTTTGTTTCTTCTTAGTACACATCATTATTTATACTGAGATGTACTAGATTTTCTTTCTTGATTTGAATAAATAATCAAGAGCATGTAACAATTATTTTTTGTGTGCATATAATAACTATCCAATTTAAAGGAGGTCTTTGAATAATAAAAGTAGTGGATTGGTATGTAATGGTTCACTTTTGCAATATCTTGGATGCTATACTCCGAGGCTCAATGAGAATACATGACATTTCGATGCTTGAGAAGAGCTTATGTGCTCGTTACTCCCACTTAGGTATAATGTCTAGCTGTCCTTTTGCTTTTTAACCTTTTATTGGTTGATATCCAAAAAAACATCAAGAGATATGGAGCAGTATAATTTGAAATTTAGATATGAAGAGAAAAATTAAATGATTGGAAGTTTAGACCTTTTAGATTTGAAATACTGAGAATGGGTTCAAAATTTAGACAATTGAAAGTTGAACTTATTAGATTTAAAATGTTGAAAAGGAGTTCTGTCCTTACTGAATTGGCCTTTTCTTCTGTTTTGCTAAGTAGAAATTGAGTATGTTTCTCCGGTTTGGTTCTGATGAAAACAGTGAAACTAGGACAAAATGTCAATTTATATCTTCCCATTTATGTCCAATGCTAGCAATCAGATGGCTTATGATGCTTTAAACAGTAATTTCTTTCTTGTTAACTGAAATTGCTTGCTGCATGTCTTCTCTTACTATCGGCCAATGTGTCTAGTGATGATTCTATGAATTGCTTGCTAATGTCTTGTCAGCCTTGGTTCTTGCATGTCTACTTGTGATTCTACAAAGTTTTATTTCTTCTTTTGCACATGAGATAAATCCATGACATTTCTTTTGCTAAGGCATTAGTCAAATTTGAATGTATAACTGTTTCAGCTGTAGCATATCCGTTAACAATTTTATTTGAAGACTTGCCTAAATCCCTGTGTATCGATGCTACTCCAATGTGGCAGCTGCTACATGTTAGAAAGTTTTTCCTGATTGAAAGTTCTTTCTTTATGTGTTTATGTCAGCTTCAGGAGAAACATATTCCTCATGCTTTAAAATTTTACTATCACTGGGCAAGAATTTTTTGAAATTAACTTGAGCTCTGATGATCATGAGGAAGAGTGTGGCATTCGACAGCCAGTTCAGGTAACGGCAAGGACATCCATACCGGAGAGAATGAGGAGCATGGTCTTGTGCTACATTTTAAGGGACAAATCAAAATCTTGCGACTTTCAGCTACAATATTTTGGGAACATGATATTGTGCATGAATTGGTGCAATCAAATCAAAAGTAAGGATCTCAGATTGATTCTGCTTTTAGGTCAAGCCATCTTTATGATGTGTAAAATCTTTGAGAAGATAACATTGGACCTTTTTCTCTGTCTTGTTCATGGATGTTGCTCTGTGAGATAGAATGCCAGCTCTCAGGTTTGTGCTCCAGCTCTACCACAAAGTTATTTGATATTTATCTAAGGATTGAAATATCATACCGTACCGAAGTTTCGAGATTCTCTCAGTACGGTACGATACTGTATACCGAATGATATATCGCTCGGTAGCGGACGATCCGTGTACCGGTCTGTTGATGGATCGGTATGTACCGTCCGGTACGGATGGTATTATTCGAAATTGAAGCCTTTAGATGATATTACTAAATAAGCTCATCGAAATTTTTTTGCTTCGTTCTTTAGAGAATGTCTTGAAATCTCCATTAAGGAAAAATTGAGCATGTTGACCAATCCAAGTGTGTAAGGTACTAAGTCCATGGATGTTGTAAAATATAAATGTGTTTCTGGGCTGGAGCAGTGAACCTATGATGGATCTGTTTATTTCTGTTTTAGCCGAAGTTGGTTTTAGATCATTCAGTAAGTGCTTTTTTTGTCTGAAGTACCTGTGGATATTTTCTTGATAACACTATATCTTCCATTAGTTTGTGAACTCTAATGTAGCTACTTCTGCATATGACAAATCATTCTCTCACACAACCAATTTATTATTGTTACGAAGTATTCTTTAGTTTTCAAATGACCTATTTTACTCCACCTGGATTAATATTTCATGCACTTATAGCTACAATTATAGATTCCAGTCGTTGTTGCATGTAATTTAATTGACAACTTCATACTTATTAACAAGCCACCTATTAATTAATGTTATGATGTTTTGCATCTTTCATTTAAACATTTCTAAGATGTTTAAAGCATTTTGATTTATTTGTATCAAATTGCGACTTAATTGTAAGAGTCATAATTTTTAGCACCTGGGTTTCTATAATCATCAGTGATACAGCCTCTTGGAGGGCAAGATCTCTAGGCCCATGTGTTTTATTCTTTAAATTGTTCTGGATTGTGGTAAATAAATTTGTTGACATTTGGATTTACCAGTTCACTAACGCAATGAATGACATAGGAAGGTGATGTTTGAACAGAAGATAAGCGAGGGAAATGAAATGTCACACACTTAATATAGTTTATCGACCTAATTTTCTTCTAGTGCTTTATGGGTTTAGTGAATGCATGTCTCTTGGTTATGTTATTAGCTCCAGTTCCTAATTCGAGGGAAGACCATGGGCGGTTCTTTGTCTTAAAATTGTTGTGGTTTATGTTTACTTCTCTTGATGTTGCCTTCACTATAACACGTTTTTGACTTGAAATTTTGTCTTCTTGCACTCTGCTTGTAAAATGTTTGTGTTTTTGAGGCTCAGAAATTGGAGAGTAACTTTTGTTTCTTCTTATTGAAAGGAAATAAGCTGATTTTGAAGGTGGAAGGAAGCGTTGCTAAGTTCCCAATGCCAATATGCCGTCTAAAATCAGACAGAAGAAGACCAGTAAAGTTGCTCATTTGAAGGGAAAATCTTCGAAAGGGAGGTAAGATAGAAAGCTGACTGACATTTAAATCAACTTAACATGAGCTGGCAGAAGAGTTTTCTTGGAACAAATAATGAGAATATATTAGCTAAAGTTTATCAGAAATAGCTGTAGGTCCATGTAGCTGATCCAAGATAATTGAGACATGACTTTCTTGTAATAGTAATAGCATATTTAACCTTTGCTCTTTTACATAGTTAAACAGTGATCTACAGAACTATCAGAGTCATCAGAAGACATCTCTTTAAGCTTTTCATCATAGATAGTCAGCAATGATGTACCTCTCATTCTTTCTCCCTCTTTCTTTCTTCAAGGAGAAGGAAGGCGTGCACCCAATATTTCCCAGCATCTCATTTCACAAGAATTACTAAGGACATATCAAGCAATTGCCAAAGGTTGCACGGAGACATCTTACAGGAGCTCAAGCCACAACTCCATGTAAGTGACATCTTATTCTTCTTGTTCGATATGCATATCTCAGTAATCTATAGATAGCTGTTTTATTGCTCTCTCTGTGTCTCTTAGAATCTTACCTTTTCAAAGTATATGGAAAGGGGAGGGAAAGCACCTTTGACAAGCTATGGCATTAGAAAAATTGAAAGGGAGCACTACTCATCCTCCCACCTTACTCATCCTACTGTATCTAAAGAGCTGCCTACTTGACAATGGCTCGTATCATCACCACCTGCATCAACTTTTTCTATGTTCTCAGCCTCTTCGACCTCCCACTTGCTTTTGTTCCTATTCCTCAGATGCAGTAGCATGACAAAGATGTCCATCTTATTATATAGAATGAATAGAACACGCATCCCAACGTGTCTAATAAGATCCATAACAAGCTCTGATCCTCTATGTCTCATAAGATTCCACCATCACTTCTCAACTAGATAGAAAGCGAGAAAGAAGGAAAGCAAAGTGTAGCTATTACCATTGGAAGATCAATGGAATGTCATGTAGGTTTCAAGTTGACATAACCAGCTATGGGGATCCATTGACATCTATTCTTTCTCCCTGAGGCACTGGCTGCTACTGTGGGAAATTGAGGCACGTGAAGGTTGTCAGGCTAACACCGAGTTCAGTTGACTTTCCTCACTGGCTGCATGCCTCCCCTTCTGAACCCAACCAATAGGGTGTAACCAAAGCATAAAACTGGAGGTGGGAAGCATCTGTGGAGAAGTCAATATATGTTTCAAATGCCTTTCTTGCTGTAACACATGGTGGTGCTTCTCTCCCCCTCCCTTGATATCATGTTGGGAAATTAAAAAAAAAAAGGGAAAAAAGTATCTAACTACTGAAACTAAAGATGAAGTGATAGGAAACAATTCCATATGGGTTGTTTGTTTCATGGAAAAGGAGCTTAATGGAAGTCTATAATACTTGTTAGCATCTCAGCTTTTGTTTTCTGTTAGGAGAGGAGACCCACAAAGCTGAATATAGTAGAAAAAAAGGAGGTGGATTCTCCACCACTTCAGTGGGCCAGTGGCATGTTGGTTCAGACAACATTGAAAAAGAGGCACCCATATAGAATATGAACTCACCACTTCACCAGATCCAAGAATAAGTTGAAAAGGCAACCCCTCTAAATGTGCTAGCACTGCTTGTATCTTTCTTCATCTATAAGACATGTTAGATCACATGGTCATGCGAACTTTGAATGAGATCCGAGGTGCATATGGAAGTAGAAACACATCTTAAATATTCATTCATGCCTAAATTCTTATAGAATTGCTTGTGTTTCCGAGGCCATGGTATCTTGACAGTATGGAGGTCCACTCTGAGAGGGACAAAGTTTACATTCCATTTCTATAGTCCATGAAATTTGAGATGCCTGAGATATATGATTTAGAGCAGTAAGCAATGCTCCCTGATCTCCATACGACTTGCTGCAGTTTGTAGATGATCAGTGTGGCCCATCTCAACACATTGCTTGCACGGATCTGCTTCTTTGATGTAATCCATACATTCACTTTCTTCTTTTACAAGCTTCTTTATAATAAATATGGTTTCAATTTTGTTTTTTCTTACAGGTTATCCCTTTGTGGCTGATATGGACAATATTCACCCTCATCCGGAGTTTGACATGTGGCCACCATAACGCCAAAAAAAATGACTGAGTTCACTGATAGATATATCACATTATGTCAAGAAAATCAAGGAATATTTCCTTAACCATGAGTGGTTAAGGATCGACTATAAAATGTGGACGCTGATATAGTCTGAGGTTGAACAATTCTCTTTTATCCCTCCCTTTTTCATTTTGAAATACTAACTTGAGCTTCGAAGGACCATGTCAATAGCCTCATCTCATCCGATATCGATCTTCGGCTATGAACATTTCCTTAGCTATATGTGGGGAGCCTCGGGCAACACCAAATCTTGTAATGCAGATCATATCTGAATCAAGTGGTGGCCACCGACATTAGCTGACAATGGTGGCGTATTAAAGTCATGGTCTAATGCGTCAAGGTAGCTGATGCACGTCTCTTCTTGATGAATTCTATTTATTTGGGAACATCTTGGCTGCAGATGGAGCATTCTCCAAGTTTTCTGGTAAAAGATGCTGTTTAATCTGTCATCATCAGCTTGTTTTCTTATCAGGATTTGGGTGATCGACTCCACTGGCGCTGCCATCAACGGATGATAAGCATCTTAAATGCTGTCAGGCTGTGGCTTTCAAGCTCAAGCACCGATGGATGAAACGAAGGAGCTGCCGAATGGTGACGGTAACAGTAGATATGTACGAGGAAGCTGCATGTCCTAACATCTGTTATCTATTACTGCAGGAACAGTCGACCCACCTCCCCCATGTGTTCCTCCACCAGCGGCACGTCACTCTTTTTGTGGGGCCACATGAACATGTGGCGCATGCGCGACCGCTGGTAGATGGTGCCTGTGGGGCCCAGGTGGCATCCACGGTGGTCCACGCTGTCCCCCGGCCAAATCTCGGTGGTCACTTTCTTTGACTTGTTTGTGTGATTCTAAACTAGTTTTTTACTATTACTATCATTTTATCTGAAATCTTTTAGTTATCCCTTCATTTTGCCTTTAGTACTATGGAAACAATTAAAAGAAAACAAACTCTCCTTTGAAGAAAATAAAATAAATTTCAAAATCTTTGAGGAGTATGACACCACAAGCATATGTTAAACAAAGAAACTATATGGAAATAAACCTCGGGTAGATAAAATATCTTTTTATTATTTTAAAAGTTTAATCCCATTTTTTTAACTCAGATTATAATTAAATGTATACTTTGTATATAAAAACTGTTGTATTAGAACTTGTGGAGTTCTGCAAGGATGTTATATATCTACTACCCATCTAGTGAATATGCTGCATGATTATTGGACAACAATTAAATTGAAAAATATAAATTATCATCATTTTCTAATTATTTACTGATAAGAGACTAATCAACTCTTCTTTTTTTTTGTCCTTTTCTTTCTGGTAGGAACAAGGGTGAAGAAGAGTTGTGCTTTGGAGGCTGATGAGATAGATGGCAAGCTTGCTCTGAGAAGGTCCCCCATGCATGATAAGAAAGAGAAGCATTGTTTTCAGCAGAAAACTACATATCAGCAGGCTGATGGGATGCCTTCTCTGTCGAGATTCACATGTTCTTTCAAGTGCATGGAATTTGGTGCCTTCACTGATTTAATGAGCCGTCTCTATCTGCTTGCAGTGGGAGTGGGAGTGGGGTCACTTTGTTGGCTTGCCAGCTCTCCTTGGCACAAAGGGCTATGTTCAAAGAGGTGGGATGCATATGAGGATGGCCGGCAGCTTCATCACGGTAACTTATTTTTCCTTTTATTCCTTTTATTGTTGTGAGGGAATTTGACATAGAAAATTTTTCATGAGTATTTTCATTTTTTTTTTCATAAATGATAACAAATTTGGATAAAACAATGATTTGATTAATAAGTCTTGGGTCAGTATATTGATTACTGGTCAGATCAACCAACCAATCTTAATATTTTACATGAAAGGTATAAAAGTTATGTTTTGTATACAAAGTGAAAAAAAATACTAAAAATATAAGAGATATATTTTTTATTAACTACTTTTATTATTAATACCTCTCACTAATAATGGTTATAAATGGGATTAAAAGCAGGGTTTTAATTATATTTGGAGAGTTTAAAAATAAACTTACTATCAAATGAAGTATATGAGGTTTGAACTTGAGATTTATGACTTGTGTAACAATATATTATTTATTGAACTTGTATGTTAACTCTCAACTCCAACTAATCTTTTTTTTTTAAATAGGATGAAATATTAACACTCCTTTACTAAAATTATAAAGATGATAATATAATAAATCTATCTTCTTTGATATACGATGGATGTTAACATAATGTAAAAAAAAACTCTATTTTTTTATTTTATTATTATTATTATTATTTAAAAAAATACTGTATATTTGAATGGCATCACCTACGATGCGGGACAAAAAAATCTTAAAAAGGAACGTAAACATACAGATCATATCTCATCAAAAGCTTAAGCTTTTGGCATGACATAATTGGAGGAGAACAAAACAAATGCAATTAAGATTTCTTGGAAGCAAGTCCCAACATTTGGACACAAAGAATTCCCGGTCATTTATGGCCTGATTTGAACATGATTGAGTTGGTCCACCGCACAGGTCCGATGAGGATTTCCTCCAATCATACCTCTAATATGGATATTCCAATTCCAGCATCGGAACCATACCACAGTCCACTGATGACATCCGACCATCTATTTCGAGCATCAATTGTCCGATCACAATTGAATCCTTGCAATTAGTTGAGAGAATCCAACCCCTTATTTTTATATGAAGCATTTGCCAAATGTGTTGTTATTAGAAGAAAAAGTCAAAATCACATAATCATTAAAAGAAAATAAATATTAATATTAAATCAGATTGACATTTCTCATATAAAAATTATAATTTTATTTGAATTAAATTAATTTATATAACTTCGTACAACTATAGCTTAAAGTCTATTTTAACCTTTGTAATCTTGGTTATGCATCTCTTAATACTCATGTCTAAAATAACTTATATATTTTTAATCCTTGTAGTTAAAAATTTAGGGTAAAGTCCATTTTAACTCCTATGGTTTTGATCATGCATCTCTTAAGCCCTTATGGTTTACTCATATCTAAAAAAACTTGTACATTTTAAAAAACTTAACAGATAAGCTTCTCACATCAAATATGAGTTAATAGATATTAAAATCTATTTACATAGTTGATTCATAATAAATTATTAATATAATGATATATATAATTTAAGTTTTAAAAAAATTAAGACCTCCATCAATGACGGGAGGTGGTGTCGTCGTGGAAGCGACTACCAACAGCAACACCGAGTCGCTGTTGCCTAGTAGGGCATCGTACGCACATAGCCTCTCCTACATTGATGACGAGCTTAGGAGCTTCCGATCCTAGGCACGTAGTCTGACGCTAGATACGTAGTGGTCTCATAGTCCCTCTTCTTCCTCTTGGGCATCTTCCTCCCCACCCCTCCCCATTTCATCCTCAATTGCTTCTTTCGTTTGCTCTCCATCTTCGTGATGTCATGCTTCGCGGGAGGAGGTGGCTTATAAGGTATTATGGTATTAGTCGGGATTGGAGCAGATGTTGTTCGCAACGACAGATAGTGTTGTGGTGGTCGACGTGGTGGTATACACCCTCAAGTTAGTGAGTGACATTGGGAAGCTCATAAGCTCATCGTTAGTGAGGGAGAGGCTGCATGCTTACAATGCCATGCTAGACAACAACGGCTCGATGCCGTTGGTGGTGGTCGCTTCTATGGTGACGCCTCATTTCGCTATTGATAGAGGTCTCAATTTTAAACTTAAATTATATATATCATTGTATTAATAGTTCATTGTGAGTTAGCAAATTACGTAAGCTTACTTTAACGTCCGTTAACTCAGACTTGATGGGAGAGGGTTATATGCTACATTTTTTAAAATATAAAGATTATTTTAGATACGAGTAAATCATAAGGGTTTAAAAGATCCATGGCCAAAATCACAAGGGCTAGAATGAATTAACCCTAAATTATACGTATTATTATATTAATAGTTTATTAGGAGTCATGCTACGTAAATCAAATTCTGAAGTTCGTTAACTTAGACTTGATGGAAGAGACTTATATATTATATTTTTTAAAATATATGAATTATTTTAGATACGAGTAAACTATAAAAATTTAACAGATCTATGGTTAAGGGTTAAAAATGAACCTTATTCTTAAAAATGATTGAATATCGATTTATAATTTATCGTAAGGGCTTTAATTTGAATTTTATTTATTTTATTATATCATGTTTCTCTCGTGTCCAAACTCGTTTCTTACTTTATCTCGAGATATCTTTTTCCCATAGGGGCATTTTAGTCACAACACGTACCACCACCCTCCGGGCTATATATCACCGCTCTCCTCCGCCCTCTCAACTTTAGTCGCGAAGCCTCTCCACGCCAAATAGAGCCGTAAAAAGGAAGCTTCTTGCTCGCCGGAAACTTGAGCTCCCGCATCCACCTCCCAAGTTGGTGGTTCCCTCCGTCGCCGGGTCCCGAGGCGATCCCCGGCGAAGCCTCGGTGCTGCTGGTCCCCGAGGAAGTCGATCCCCCGCCGCGTTCGCCACATGATGGGGTTTTCCCTTATCCCGATGATGACGTCAACTCGGCTCCTCTGGTCCACCTCCTTCTTCCGCCATAAGAGCGCCGCCGTCTTCCTCTAACCGGTCAAGAAGTCCTCCGTCTTTAGATATAGCGTCTATACATATAGCGTGAGATCGGGTGATGGATCGTGTTCGTCTGATCTTTGATTCCTCCTCGTCGCGCGGCCGCCACGGGCAGCGGATGCTCCTGTTAGGCGGCGGCGGCGGCGGCGGTAGCAGTCCGGTCTTCGGAGGTGGGTTGTATCATCTTGAGCCTTCGTTTCCGATACTGCCCTTGAGATTATCCACGTCGATGGCTTACTGAGGGTGTTTTCCAAATTACAGGGGCGAGATCGGCGTTGGCTGCAGCGGAGGGCGCGAACAAGCGGCGGCCGTTCTTCACGTCGCCGGAAGAGCTCTTGGAGGAGGAGTACTACTACGACGAGCAGCAGCCGGACAAGAAGCGCCGCCTCTCGCCGGAGCAGGTAATAGTCTACATCTCCTCCCTCCACCTTTTGATCATCTCATGAGTTGCTATTTGTGGATCTTGATGTGAGTGCGTGAAAACAAAACGAAGACAAAACAGCAAACGAGACAATGATAGGAACAGTAAATCTATTACATTGGTAGAAAATTCTACCGATGTATGGCCACGAGGACATGTGTTTGATCAAATTCCCGCTGCCATATGGCCTGTTGTGTTGTTTCTTGTTGTGAACATGGGCATGAATGACCCTCATCACCTGTTGCGTGTCAGTCGCTTAACTCTACATGAAACCTGAAGATAGACACGAAGGAGATCGAACTATTGGGAGGCAGAGAGAGAGAGAGAGAGAGAGAGAGAGAGTTGCCCTGCTTCGTTGGATGCATGCTTAGTTTAAAGGAAGAATATGTTCTTGGTTGGGTGTTGGCTTTAGGAAACAGTGATGTATCAGAATAAATGCTGGATTTGATCGAATGAAGTAACATAAAGTGTTGAAGTAAAAGGTACGCTTACTGGAGCGGAGCTTCGAGGCGGAGAACAAGCTGGAGCCGGAGCGGAAGAGCGAGCTGGCCCGGAAGCTCGGCCTGCAGCCGCGGCAGGTGGCGGTGTGGTTCCAGAACCGCCGCGCCCGGTGGAAGACGAAGCAGCTGGAGCACGACTTCGACCGCCTCAAATCCTCCTACGGCTCTCTTCTCTCCGACCATGACTCCCTCCTCAAGGAAAACGACCGCCTCCGATCCCAGGCAATCTCTCTTTCTTTCTCTCCCTCTCTGGTAAAGTAGTGCAATTCGCAGTTCAATCAACAAGAGTTTCACCAATCGTAACAAGGAATCGGTTCTACCTGGGTCTCCATCAACTGTGCAATTTGACCATTCCTAATGGTGGAGAATGGCATTCGTTGTCTTCTTTTGTTGGGAGAAAGAGAAAGAGGGAAAGAAAGGAATGCTTTTGTTCTCACCGCACCACGAGAAAGCGACCATTAACATTGCCTACGTGAGATTCCAACACGTTGAACCTTCACTGTGATCTCTCAGGTGATCTCACTGACCGAGAAGCTCCAGAGCAGGACAGCAGCGTCAGCGGGAGCTGCGGGGATCGCCGGGACGAAATCAGACGTTCAGGCCGCCGCATCAGTCGCCGATCCTGCCACCCTGGCCGTCCAGACGAAGGCGGAGGACAGGCTGAGCGCGGGGAGCGGCGGGAGCGCGGTGGTCGACGGGGAGGCCGCCAAGCAGCTGGTGGACAGCAGCGAGGTGTCCTACTTCCCGGAGGGCTACCACTGCATGGGCCCCGTCGACGGCGGCCGGGTTCACTCGGAAGAGGACGACGTGAGCGACGAGGGGTGCAACTACTACTCCGACGGCATGTTCGCGGCGGAGCACCACCACCAGGATGAAGTGGATGCGCAGCTGGATTGGTGGGTTTGGAGCTGAGCAAAAACGGAGATCTCTCTCTTTCTCCTCTTCCTCCTCCTCCCTTCCCTCTTCTCTACTAGTGTTCACTAGTAACCAATGCTGAGTTAGTGTATGATGATGATATGCTCTGTGTCATGTCTGAGGAGAAGACTCTTTCTGTGCATTGTAGTGTTGCTATTATATCCTTTGTGAGGATTGCTGTGGTTACAATTAGCATCGGTGTCAACAGCTTATAATATCAGATCTATATTTGTTCCATTGCATGATTCATCCAAAATTCTGCATTTATACTCTCTTCTTTGGCATTAACTGTTGAAGCTTTCTGATACATAACTCTCTTTCACCATCATCACGAGAAGGAACAACATGTTCCTTCTAATATTCTTACTGAAATTATACTTTTGATGATGGAAAAATAATGCCAAGTCAAGAACTGTGATCGATCTGTCAATTGCACTCCACAAGACATGGATTCAGGGAGAGCCAATCCGTGGATGCTGTGGACAGGTCTTCCTCGAAAAAGACTCTGTTCAATCCTATCTGTTAAGAGAGAAGATAAGCAGGATGATACTAGAAGAGTATTTTTACCTCTGCTAAGGGTTGAAACATCTGCGATAGCTGCACTTTTGGCTTCTTTATGTGGATTGAGCACTCTAACACGATTCTCTTCTCTATTGATGCTGATCTTGACCGTGATGTTGCTTGTTCCTTCAGGCTTTGGCTCTGCAACGAGTGGTTTAGCTTGCAGTCGATGCTTGTTGCTTGCATCTTGTGCATCGGTTGCCACTTCTACTTGGTGTCTGAGGAGGACTGGGGAAAGAAGACATCAACATGGACGGGGGAAGGAAGGAAGGAGGGATTGGAGAAAGGTAAAGCCAAAATGACAGACAGCAAACCTACACAGGGGACTATGATTTCTCTTTCACAGAGACAACGCAGAGAAAAAGGAGCTTGGAAAGGTAAAGCCACTATGATAGACGGCAGCAGGTTCAGAAATCAGATTCACTGCACTTCCGATGTTGATCTCTAACTTTCCTTTCATGTTTTTAATACTATGCTTCGACAGAGAATACATCAAAGCAAATAAGTAATAATAATGCGAATATTTGTCTCCTATCATAGTTCGACACATAGCCTCAAGACAAAAAATCACTATGCCAACATTCGTCAAACATAAATTATTTTCAATCCGGATCGACTATAAAAGCAATCTAGGATATGTTTATCAAAATCTAACATTTTTATTTTAATATTTCTCTTAATTTACCTCGCACTTGACTTAGGCATAAGAAGACCTAAGTCAAGGACTACCATCCAACATTATTATATAATGTATAATAAACGAACATCGAAAGCACATTACGTAAATCGAGAGATTTCTAACCCAAGTTGAGCTAGAATTGAGTTGAGATCATTTATTCGAAGTCGACAATTGATCTTTCCTCCGTCATTTTGACTCTAAAAGGAGGATCGACATAATACGATAGTATCGTCCTATTGATTCTTTGAACGATCACTCTAGTGAAGATGCCCCACTCCTCACCTAGACTACTTTCACTAACTTTAGATGACTGCAGATGTTCCCTACCATCAGCACTTTTAAGACTTCTCACATCTCTTTCTAATACAAAAGATTGTTCACTAACTTTGGAATCTCCTCATCGTCGATCGCATCGACTCACATGGTAGTTACGACCAAAAATTTTCATTAACATGATACAATATGTGTAGGCTCTAATGGGGTAAGCAGTCTATCATTCACTTTATTACGTAGTTAGGTCAACTCACAATTATTTATATTTCGTAACAACAACCATTGCCTCCGGAGCCAATGAGCATCCCTCTGCTAACTGAAGCACTTGACTCGTTTCGTAGAAGGTAAGTAAGGGGAAAGTCTTATTAATAGCATGTTGCGACTAGTCAAGACTTATTAGAAAAAGATTAGATATAGAATTCTATCAATCAAATGAATTTTTTTTTTTGGTGATCAAATTATTATATTCTTTTTAATCAATGATAGAATCAATCAAATGATTGTTTCTTTTTAGTTATCTCATTCCCTTCCCCTTCTTCGGGCTCTTATCAAAATCATGATAAGTTTCTATATCAGTGAAAACTTCCATATAGTAAGTAAAATGAGTTTCTTCACCACACATAGCTATGATTGATTAATGTTATTTAAATATAATATTTGCATGAATCATAAACATGATTGGTGCAAAAAAATAGTGAATCAATAGTACCTAATATTTATATCTATCTTGAAATTATTAATAGTACTTAATAGTGGATAATCTGATTTGATGTGACACTAATTATTAATTAATTTGCCACGCAGCACAGTAGTTAGCGTCGCGTGTTCTTTGCCCTCCGTTCATGGCGACGACGGCTCAAAGAATAAGGAAAGATAAGTGCGCATCGACCGAGGCAATTATTGTCCGGCAATACATATTATACCAACCTCGCCATCGACCAAAGCGAGAGAGAGAGAGAGAGAGAGAAAGCGAGAGGAAGACTATAGCGAACAGCAGCAATGGCGTCCGAGGCACGCGTTGGAGAGGAGGAACCCAAGCAGTTGCCGGTGATCAATGAGCACAAGAGCCTCCTGAATAGTGAGGCACTCTACCAGGTGCTCGCTGCCTGCCGCTTCTTGTCACGCCCTCTCTCTCTCTCTCTTTGTCTCTCACCATCGCTCGCTTGTGGTAATATGTCCTATCCTGTGCGCAGTATATTCTGGAAACCAGTGTCTACCCACGTGAGCCCGAGGCCATGAAGGAGCTCCGACACATCACGGTCAAACACCCTAGGTATGATCCAGATTCTTGTTTCCTTTGATAGGGAAAGCATGCTATAAATTCCTCGGCACCTACGAAACAAGTCTTCCTGTTCAATATGATTCAATCTGAGCATTTTCCTGAAAGATTTTTTGGTTGCAAGGTGTTTGATGAAATTACTGATAGAAGAATATAAGCTTCTGCTTAGTTTGATTATATGCAGGGAAGACCTGACTAATGTTTTTGTGCTAACACGAGAGGATAGCAACCTTAAGATTAAGATAATTAATGCAGAAATATCATGGCATCGCTAGTTTAGGACGGTTCGATGATTGGAACTTGTGAATGCGCAGACGTGTTATGGCTGCAGCTGCGGATCAACTGCAGTTCATGAGCATGCTGCTTAAGCTGATCAATGCCAGGAAGACGCTGGAGATTGGCGTCTTCACCGGCAGCTCCCTGTTGGCCACAGCCCTCGCCCTCCCTGAGGATGGCAAGGTAAGAGTTCTCTCTAGGCAAAGCAAGGTTCATGATTTTTTTTTTTTTGGTTAGAAATCTATTAATGATGAGTACTAGTCAAACTAGTCGAGGTTAATACATATTTAGTTAGACACTAACTCAACCCAAAAATTGAGTTAGACACTAACTCAACCTCCTGGCCACAGGATGGCAAGGTAAGAGTACTCTCTAGTCAAAGCAAGGTTCATGATTTTTTTTTTTTTTTGTTAGAAATCTATTAATGATGAGTACTAGTCAAACTAGTCGAGGTTAATACATATTTAGTTAGACACTAACTCAACCCAAAAATTTAAGTGGTTAAACTGTGAGCTACATTCAGATATATGTAATCTGGCTCTTTCGATATTTATCACTGTTCTTTTAGTTCTCTTTTCTATCTCTCCTCATACATGAATATCGGACCTAGTCTCGGATAGAGATTATCAATTGTCTTTTTGCAGGTATTGGCCATTGATATCAATAGGAAGTACTTCGATCTTGGATTCCCCATGATCCAAAAGGCTGGGGTGGCACACAAGATCGACTTCCGTGAGGGCTTGGCTCTACCCATCTTAGATGAAATCTTGGCGAAGGTAACAGAGAACACTATTAACTTGAGTTTGCATGCACACACTGCAGATTTTACATTGTCATATGAGAATGAAAAATTTAGCAGAAACTAACAAAATGGAAAGGAAAAAAGAAGAGATTAAAATTGAGAATTGAAAGAATATAGTCACTATCCTAATGTGAAATTTTATGATTTCATCCTCGTTCATCTTTAATTATTTCTGCACACACTCCATTTAACTTCAAAATTGAGTAAATTCTAATCCAAGACATGACTTCAAATCTTATAAGACTTAGTCAAGTGATCATGAGTTAAAAAATGATTAAAATGGTTGAACCTTCTTATTGAAAGCCAAATGATCACAAGAATGAATTCTATGATAGGTAGGATTCAGTTGACATGAAAGATTCTTCAGTATCTCCCTCCCAATTTTGCAACTATTTCCTTCACTTGTCAAGCTGTTGTTGAACTTTTGGTGATGCAGGAGGAGCACAGTGGATCGTTCGACTTTGCATTTGTGGATGCAGACAAGGCAAACTACATTAACTACCATGAAAGAGTGTTGAAGCTGGTGAGGATGGGGGGCGTGATCGGATATGACAACACCCTATGGGGTGGCTTTGTGGTTGTGCCGCCGGGTGAACCAAGCCCTGAAGAACTCCTGAAAACTAAGCCTGAACCAATCCCTGAAGAATTCCTGAAAATTAAAGACTTGACTGTGGAGTTCAACAAGTTCTTGGCAGCCGATCCACGTGTCGAGATCTGTCACCTCTCCATCGCTGATGGCTTCACTCTCTGTCGTCGCATCCATTGACTAAAGTAGAACCTTTTCCTTGTGCTTATGAATCTACCCAACATTCTGCATGCCTTTGTGCAGGAACAAGAAGTCAAGGTAACATTCTAGAGTCTCTTATGTCATTGCAGAAACCTAGCGTGAGTGTGTTAATCTTCTATGTTACAGAGGTAATAAATTGCATCACTTGTTCTTGTTTGGAACCATTTTCAATGAAAACTTAAATATAAATTGCCTGCATAGCTCCAATTTAAGTATGTGATATTGTATGATCTGATGAAGAAATTCTATACCTGAGAACTGAGATTCAGAGGGATGGAGAAGATATAGGACAGGTTGATTGGTTTTATTTTTTGTTTCATCAAAGAAAAAGACTGAGTTTGTGCATTGGAAGAAATAACTTTCTTTTATCTTTTTTATCTTCTAGTCAAATGAGAATTATAGACTTCTTCCATAGCAGGAAGGGAGGAGTCAAAATGACCATATATGTAATCCCCAAATAATTAAATTTGGAATAAATCTAAAAATAAAAATAATATATTTTTATTTCAAATAGGCTATTTTATGATTATTTTGACTGAATTTTGATGTGAGGATAGTTTTAAAAAGGAGTTTGAAGACA